GGGACGGCACCAAGGACGGGTCGGGTTTTGAGAGCGACAGGCTTGTACTTTTTCTTCGTCGCGGCGAGTATCTTGTGCGTTGAAGGGGTAGAAGTCGATGTCGTCGAAGGAAAGGGGAGAATCGAGTTGGAAAACTGTGAGATGGACTTCGCCGGAATGGGAGCTGGCGGAGTCGAAGCGAACGGAGCTGAAAATAGAAGAGTCGAAGCCCACGTCGAAGTGTTCGACGGGGCGGCATTAGAAGCTGTACTGTCCGAGGCGTAAAGAGACTGCAAATATGAAGAAACGGAGGTGCATGCGGAGAGGTACAGTGACGAAACAGCGTTCGGAGTCGAGGAATCAATAGGCAAGACAAAGGAAATACTTGGTTCTACCCCATCGTAGTCGATGACTAGCGCAGCTTCTCCTTGATCATGGGGAATCAATTCCTCGAAGCTAGAAAATGCGATTTGCGACACCCGAGAGGATGCTGCCGGCTTCGCGATCTTCCTCGCGCGTACGTCGGAATCGTGACGGTTTCGCCGGTGTTCGGGCAGAGGATCGTAATGGTCTGGTTCTCGTCGGCGAAGTTCTTGACGACGCTCTGCGTGAGCACGTCGAAGGGTCGGCCGAGGAGGATGTCGTACGCTGCGTTTCGAATGACGTGAGCCTGGAGATACAATACGATCTCACCGATGCGGAAGGGAACATTTCGAATGAGTCCTAACGATCGGTCCACCTCGCCGTTCGCCGATTGCATGTTCAGCTGGATTGTAGGATCGAAGAGGAGGTTGAGGCCGAGACAGACCTCTTCTGACATGGCGACGATTTGCGAACCTGGGTCGACGATGCATTCGATCTGCTCTTTGTTGTCAATCAACGCGATGATCGAACGAATCGCATTCGAATCGCGGGCGACGGTGAATTCTGCGGGGTGCTCGCCGTGAGGGATATGCTTCAGATATGTTTCATAGGGGTCGGGGACGATTGTAGCACCGGGTTCCAATGTTGCACCTGAACACGAGAGCTGGTTGACGGCCGCGACCTCGTCGGCGCCGATTTCTACGATGTGGGCCGACGCGACGGGTTCCGTCGAGACTCGCTCAGGGGTGACGGCGTCGCGGTACTTGTTTCGAACATCGGGCGCGATTGACAGCAACTCTTCTGGGGTCAGCGTGACGAACTGCGACTTCATCGAACGCTGGAAGATTTCCTCAGCGAGCTTCGGCTGGATAACGGGGACGATGGTCTTGTACGCTGGTTCCTTGCCCTTGTCGTTCGAGGGCTTCGGCGGAGTTGCGAAGTTTCGAACGTTCGGTGGGGCGTAGGTTGCGTCGCGAGCGTTTGCGAAAGGGTGTACTGGTGGTGCTGAGGGAGCGGATGTAGTAGTAGGTTGAGACGTGGATTGCGTAGGCGAGGAGGAAGACGGCGCGGGTGCTGCTGCTGGTATCGTCGGAGGCGGGGCCGTGCTTGTCGAAGTGCTCGGGGGTGCCGCCACTCCTTTCGATGTACCAGATCCCGAGGCTTCCGCGCTCTTCGGGACGGCTGTCGTAGGCTTCTTCCGCTGTAGAATCTCGACGCCGTCGAAGACCTCCCTTCGCTTCCGAAGCTGAAGGAGTTCTCGCTCGAGCGCCTCGATCCTGCCGCTAGTGTTGAGCGTGAACGTTTGCACAGTCGAGCGATCGTCGATCTCGAAGAGCATCGTCGGAGCAGCTGGTGCTGCGGGATTTCTTCTATGCCACTCGTAGATTCGATCTCGTATTGTGAGACCAGGGATAGTGCGGGGGCAGAAACTTCCGTTCGGAAGGACGATCTTGCCGTCGGTGTTCCGTTTGCACTTGCCGTCCCGAATATCGATCTCCGCGAACTCGCAGGTGCCTACCCTGCAGCCACGATTGCCGCAGTAGTGGCACGTCTGTTCAACTCCGCTGTTCTCGTGGACGTGGACGGCAGCTGGTTGTCTCGGTGCGGGGGCGTGGTTGTGTGTAGCATGCGTCGTTGGCTGAATAAGCGTCGCGATCGTCCTCGACAGGCTTTCGATGATCATCGAGATGTCTTCGGTCTTGATCATCCTGGGGGGCACCGTTGTCGAGGTGTTCGATGTCGAAGCGATAGCCTGGTTAGCCGCTGTCGTAGGTGTGCTCGATGTGCCGTGTAAAATGAACGTAGCCGCAGCGTGAATCTCTGCCATGGTGTATGGGTCGTCGGCATAGTGATCGGGGTGCTTGAGATGCAGTCGGGTCTCGAGCCGTGTGAGCAACGCTGGCTGGAATCCTCGAAGAAATGCACGACTTTGTTCGATAGGGGAGAGTCGGTTCTGTGCGATGAGATGTTTCGTAATGGCCATGAAGTCGCGGTAATAGCAGCCTAGATCTGCCGCATTGTGAATCCCGATACGAGCGCGTTCTCCGATGAGCTGATCCATGTCTGCCAGCGACCACTTTCTTGTATCGTCGGCGCCAGGATAGAGTGCTCGTACGTCGGCTTTCCAGTCGTTGTAGCTCTTGGTTACGTCGATGAAGGACTCGATGGTTTCCCATAAGTCGGCGACGTCAATCGAAGGGTACTGAACGGCCCACTGTTTCTTGGCTGCTTCGTCGGTAATCTGACACCGGGTGAACAACGCTTCGAGGTCCTGGAAGTAACGCCGAAGCGAACGGACTTCCGATGGGTCGAAGCTTGGTGCTGTCGAATGACCGCGCGGGGGCATCAACGGTGTGTTCGTGTTCTGACTCATGTTCGTAGTGTTGGTGGGAGCTGGGCTCGAAGAGGACGCGGTAGTAGTCGAAGGAATCGTAGGTGCGGGCGGTGCGGGGTTGGAGTTCGCAGCTGCGTTCGAAGGTGCTAATGGTGGCGGAGGTGCCAGGTCGGATGTAGGTATGACTGAAAGTCGCGAAGAGGATGCAATGGGCGGCTGAGCGTGGGCGCGAAAAGAAGACGGAGTCGGGAGTTCGAGATTCGAAGTAGATGGGATGGGATCCTCGGGTTCGGGCGAAGAACTGGATCGTTCGAAAAGATCAGGAGTCGAAATGTCGTAGTCGGAAGTAGTGAGGCCTAGAAGCTCGGGGGACGACGTGCGTTCTTCGGCGGTCGAAGGGATCGGTTCTTCGTCGAAGTCGTCCTGGAGTTCTTGGTCTATCTCGTCTTCTTCGTCGCGGTCGAAGTTACCGGGAATGGTTGGAGAGGGAGTCGATTGCGTTCTAGAGGAGCTGTCGAGGTTCTCGGCGGCGCTGCGGCTAGCAGCCTCACGCGCTTGCGAGCGGGTGACTACTGGAGACATTTTCGGAAACCCGAAAGCGGCGAATTCTTGCCTGAAATCCCCTCGCGGTGGGCTCCAGAAATGATACGACCTATGAAACCCTAACCCCTAACCTGGGTGCGACCTAAAGGGACTAGAGAGACGGATTATAGTCTAGTGAGAGGGGAGTTAGCAGCAAGGTGTCCCGCGGTTCGAGTGAACACGAGAAACGCCTTCGGAAAAGGTTACGAACGATGGGGAAGCTACGAGGTGGCTTCGACACGTCGTCGAAGCTACTCGGAGGCTGTGGATGGTTAGTGGAGACGATCGAAGCTCGGGAGAGCTCTTCGAAGAATCGTAGAAGAAAGAGACAATTCGATAGGGGGGACTTAGCTAGGACGCAGTTCGCAGTTTCTTCGACAATAGTCGAAGTCGAAGGGTTCGTCGAGACGGTATCGACGAGTAAACGCAGTGGACGAGGTTTCGAGGTTACGCAGTGAGGAACGAAGTGACGCAGTTGAAGGCTTAGACGCGGGGCGAACTCGGCTTATGAGCTCTGAACTCGAGGGGGGAACCGGATCTTGTTATTTTTGGAGAGAAGTACGACAGATTTTATACTACACAGGACGCTACGACTATCGAAAGTGGCACAAGTACAAGGGGCTTTGCATTGTTCCTCAAGAAGCTGCCTCACCGAGGGGCACATATCAAGTTCATCGGTAGAGTGACGTCATGCCGAACGCGGAGATGAAGAGAAACATGCGAGACACTTCAGACCGGTGTCCGTCGTTGAAGGCATGCCGCGAGGTTCGATACCTAATCGGGAAAGACCGGCTACGTCGGTGTGGCTTCGGAGCGATGCACGCGCTTGGCCGAGCGGCGTCCAGTGGCCCTATTGTTCGCCGAATGTGGAAGATGTTCCGAGATCTACGCGCGAGGCATCGGGACGACCGTGCCGAGCTTCGAGTAAGCGTCGCGCACCGTCGAAGATGTCGAAGAGCGTCGAAGGCGAAATCGAACTGTTGGGAGACTGAGTCGAAGTGCCGGGCGGGATGCGACTGCCGAAAAGAGGTGTATCGGGGCCCAGAGGGGCTTGGCGCCTATCACCGACTCGCCAGAGGACGACTTGCGGTTGTCTGAGAGGCGGGGAGGCTCTGGGAGGCTGACGGTGTCGTCAGGTTCGGTCGCGAGGCGGTAGAGAATCATGGAGCGGAGAAGCGAGAGCCTGTGCATCGTCGGACGCGATGCGGCGCATGAGGGCGTCGTTGGCGGAACGAGTGCGGGGGCGGGCCGCGAGCGAGCTGTGCAGGTCGAGCGGGGAGAGCCCGGGAGCAGACAAACGCGACGAACGCAGCAAGGGCGCCGCTGTGGGCGCCTGGCATGAGCTGGGCCGTGAGTCGTCTGAGATTGGGCGTGAGTCGTCCGAGAGAGAAGGACGAGCAGAGGGGTCACTTGGTAAGGCCCTGTCTGCGCGTAGTCGTCGCCGTCGATGGGAGAACATGGCGTGAACATCGAGGCGAGTGGCAGGCGGGACGTTTTTGAGAGATGGGGGGGGCGGAGAGGCGGAGAGGCGGAGAGCATGCCGCTGTTATGATCTGAGCGCTATGACGCATTTTGAGAGCGCGTACTTATACCACTTAACACTACAGCTTGAGCGACATCAGAACGCTCTCGCGGACACGGAAGAGTCCTTGCAGCTTAATCTAGGGTCGTTCAAGGCATCACACACGCGCGCTCGTGTTCAAACTTCAAGGCTGCAATTGAGTAGGAGTTCGAGGGCATCGACGCGGACGTGCGTGCACTTCGCGGCGAGCTCAGTAAGGCGGAGGCGGCGCTCAAGCGCAGCAAGTCAAAGGACTACTTCAAAATCCTTGTATGGCATCTGACGTTGATGCTCAAGCGCCAGCGCTAATGATGCAGTTATACAGGTGTCTTTAGAGAGTGCACTGAGCACGAAGTCAAAAAGGCGTACCGGAGAGAAATTTTAAAGCATTATCCACACAAGGTACGTCTCATCGCAGCGATCATATTTGCAGATTGTCGACGCCTTATTCTAGGGCGGCGACGAGAAGAAGTTCAAACTCATAGTCGAGGCACACTCTGTCCTGTACGACCCAGCGCGGAGAGAACAATACGACATGGACGAGGATGAGGACGGCATGGGGCCAGGCATGGGTGGTATGGGCGTCATGAGCCCGATGGACCTCTCCGAACTCTTCGTGTAATTCCATGGGGGTGGCGGATTCTGTGGTGGCGGATTCGGTGACGGGAGCCCGTACTCATCGTTCGGGAGCAGCAGCCGGCGGGGCAGTTTCTCCTTCTAGGCATGTTCTGTCCATTGTATGCTTGCCTTATATTTTGTTTGCTGTCATGCTCGCAATCAATCTTCCTGCATTCCAGATCTCATGCCTATTTGTGTACGTTGCATTGTATGTTCTTCATCTCTATTGATTTAACACTCACATTGAAGCTGGTTTGGTACACGAACCCCACAAGGCGAGCTTCGCTGCGGCTGACAAGAGGCGAAGCTCGACCTGGGTGGGGAGCATGAGCCGCATCTGTGCAAGCGAACAAGGAACAATAAAAGTAATGATCAGTGAACTCGATTCATCAGAGAGCAACGATAGCTATACATAGCAACCAGACAACAAAGGAAAGGCAGTGCGATACTGGAAGAAATGAAAGAAATCACTCTAGGTAGCTTGTGCTACCTCGTAATGCTCTTCCGCTGTTCATGAGGTCGACTACTGCTTTGCGTGAGCAATCATCAGTGTAGTCCAGTTCTTGAACGTACGAATGATCCTTACGGGACGATAGCCGCTACTTAATATGAACGTCCGCGGCGAAGTGCGTTGATAACATCGCGAAGCTGTGAAGACAAGATCGAGTGTGTAGGCCTCCTGAAAGGCTGAGAAGAGACGACGACATACCTCAAACATAATGAGAAACATAGGAATACCGCAGTTGCGCCAGTATTGAATGTAGGAACGGACCTTCCGCGTGATGAGTATCGATAAACGTGAGCGACAAATAGATGGTGGACGCACAATCAGAATCGCGCGTGCACGATCCTCATCCACGGGGTGGAAGCGATGAGCCCGACCAGAGCGGATAGTTCTATACGGTGGCATTGAAGTCGAATCAGGAAGAGACAAGCTCGGGGATGGACGATGGTTTGGTAGACTGCTTGCGAAGAAGTTATATGAACGAGGAGATAGCCATGCGTCCGTTAGCGAGGCAGCTCCACGATTCACCTTCCTGTGCCCGAGGAGAACTTAATTCACGTCTGGATGTGATCCTGTTACACTTACATGTACAACTTATGTCACGATGCTCGCTTGTACAGCTAAGACGCCGTCTGGAACATCTCCCGAAGCTCAGGTAGCCTCGAGGACATGAAGTGGTCTGTACGGCCACTTCGAACGGGGATGCACGACGCAGAAACAATAAGCAGCGGTATAACAAGTAGCGGTAGCGGCAACCTCACGTTGCAATTAATCCCATTGGGGAAGAGACCGCGGGTGGGCATTGGCAAAACATCGCGTAAAGTGTCATTAAAAATACGAGGTCTGCGAAAGACTACGCGCTTGCCGACGCGTCATACATCCCTCGTTCCAACGATGTACTATTTCAGGGCGTCAAGACGTTGCGTATGGCTTCGCTGCGACTATTCGAGGCTACTGGTTAGTCACTGGCTGGAAACGGAGAGTACGACACCTCTTGCATGTCGGCTCTTCACCAATCGCCTGAACGGCTAATATCGGATAACGTGGGTGATGTACGGGCTGTCTAGAATCCATACGAGCCTCACAGGCACCAGATTGACGTGTTTCACGGTTGTCGAGGACTTCTTCGGGACACCGGAGTCAGAGCGGTCACGGTAAAAGGAGCGAGTTGTGTCGCATGTTCCGCCAGAGAATATGATTGTCATATAGCACCTGTCAGCAAATCCTGTTGTAGTAAAACTGGCGTATCATATTTCCGTCACACAAAAGGGAAGCCGAGCACTTACTTAACCTCCGACTGATTCTTGAAGTGCACTTCGCCCGCGTCATATTGACACATCCCGCGAACCAATGGAAGTTCGATGAGATATATCGGAGTGCTGGCAGTGCGCGACCATGACGTGTATTGCCATCACTATTGTCAACGTGTCAGACATGAGGATCACGGAAGAAGCGATGGTTGATTCGTGTCTTAAACGAGCTATTGAGCTGACGCGACTGTATAGAAAAATATGTATTAGGCTTCAGTGCGGCCGTAAGGGTCGAATTCACGTGCACCTATTATAGGATGTCGGGAACAGCCCGCTGCATTCCCGCAACTTGCCCACAGTCGCTTCAAGCATGCACTCCGGCAAGATGCTTGATACCGCGTTGATGCCGAAATCACCATGATGTTCGCAAAGTGCTGCCGCCGCTTGTGGTACTGGTGTTCTGTGACGTGCATGTTCCAGCGCACAAAAAGGGATTTTGCGCTCAAAAACCGTGCAGGCGTAGGAGGCAGAGTAGTCGCTCATCTTAACAACAGCACAAAGGAACGAGTGGGTGAGCAGCCCCTCGCGACAGAGGGTTGAGGCTTACCGCAATGATAAATGCCCGTCAGATGGCGAGCGCTTTGAGCATTGAAAACGCGCCCCTGCTATTGATGCGCGTTCAGGATCACCTGTCGCTCCAACAGAACACATGCCATCGGCGTGGCAGGTACTCACTAGCCCGGCGAGGGTAAACCGACATCAGAAAACCGGACACCTGGTGGCTAACAGTTATTGCACATGAGCAGCCGCGAGAGGGTCATTAAAATTTACTCAGCGAGTCCTCCTAACCATGCATAGCGAGTAGTCCCTATTACGGCAACCCGGAGCAGCCTGCACACTCGTGTCCGATGGTCGAGCGCTATGCCGCCTGTTGACCGATATCGCGCTGCAAACTAGAATAGCCATGCGTAGGAACGTAGGGGCCGTGTCGTCCAATCATTTCCATTTGTACGTCCAGTCAAAGTCAAAGCGGCTACCATGCATTCAATTACTAAGGTGAGCTTACATGCCGAGGAAAGTGTCGAGAATATGAAGAACCGATAATACACAAGAGCGCAAGCAGAGAGGAGCCGTCGCATGTAGATTCTATGCACGGAGTAGATAGCCGGAGCACGATTGAGGAGAGAACTATGGTCGCGCTGAGTACCGAGAGCAGTGGTCTCGCACGTGGACGTTTCATCACCGCAAGGCTCCCGAAGGCGGTGGGATTGGAGAGCGGAGAGGGGAAGCACATCGGACGGAGTAGGCAACGGGTTAAGCGAGTAAGATGGGCGCTTGGGCAGGTGAACGGTTTTGAAGCGTCGGGTGCTTTAGGTGAATGAGTCAGCTAGGACAGGCAAGAATGAATGAGGTGTTGATACCTGGACATATGCGCGCAAAACGAAGGAGCCATAGTCGTACTCGATCGATTGCTGAACCAGCCTGGTGCTAAGACATGGCACTACTACTTCGCGCACGGCAGTCGCTGACACCGACTCTTAGAAGAATATCAACCAATAGAGTCGCGCTTGGAGACACTGGTACGAGGTGCGCATGAGCACAGTGCACCGCATCGGGAGTGCGAGAAGCAATGCAAGAGCCGACAAACGTTGCTCGGGGGCGCTCGGGCTCATCGAGACCGCATCTCAATGATGTGGTGTTTCCATGATGGGAATGGAGCCGTATCCAGTGCGCGCACTCGCGTGCACATCTGGAATCGACGAGGTGCGGCATGCTAGGCCAGTCAGCAGCTGGGTGTTTACGGCGGGACGAACGCAGGCTGAGTGCGAAGGAGCTGGCCGACAACGCCGTACCAGCACGTCAGCGCCTTCTCATGTGTATTGGACTGACGCGACGTCATAAGTAATACGCACCGAGAGAAGGCCGCCAGGAAGAGAAGACGTCCCTGCCGGGGCTGCGCAGGCGACCGTGTGGGAACTCGATCTGACAGAGACGAGGTGACCCGTGCCCTTGAGGAGTTGTCGTACTGACATAATGATGAACATCAGACATCCGCTCGTGGGTGAGCATGCCAGATGCGACGGCCGTCTGCGTAATGATGAGGCGTCTACAATGCGCCGTAAGGAAAGGCAACAATGTAAAACATACCATCTATACAGGGCTTCGTCAGAACCCCGAACAGCAGGACACCGACAAACCCAACATGTCCCGCAAGACGCCCACCCAGGCGCTGACTGGGGAGAGGCGATTCCCGCAAACGGATGATCGAGGCTGAAGAAGATCTGCGGTGCGCGCTTGGATTGTCGTCTGGACGTGCGCAGAGGACGAAAAGCCGAGGATGGATGGTGTCGAGACTGCTACGCCGTCGCCGGGGGCGATCACGTGGTGTGAGCGGGTGATCGAGAAGGGAGAGGTGGATAAAAACTGATGGCGGTCGCTTGCTCCGAGGCGTCGCTCCTCGAACGTGCGTCCAAGTCCGTACCCTCTCTTATATACCCCCCCTTCTCCCTCACACTGACTTTCCCCACCCCGCGTTTTCTCTTCTAGTCATGTCAAATAATCCCGTCAGGGTCAAGTCGGGCCTCGAGGAGTACGAGCGGGAAGATAATGGCCGACCCTCATTCTTCCTCACCACAAAGGAGATAAAGCTTCTCAGTATCACTGGAGTGAGTCTCTATTTCTGCCTTCATTCTTGATCGTCTGACTCTTCTTAGGTCGGCTTTTTCCTCGATGGTATGTCTGCCGCCCTTCTCTGCGTTAATATAGCTCTGACCCGTCACTGCAAGCCTACGACTTGTTCATCATCAACGTACGTCTTCCCAGCTCACTGTTTTGCATCCTAGCTAATGCGCCTCGATTGCAGCCGGTGGCCACCATGCTGCAATACCGCCTCTATGGCGGCGCCTCCCTTCCAGCTGGCCTCGAGGGCTTCCTCAAAGCAAGTGCAAATATCGGGAGCGTAGTCGGGCAGTTTGCATTTGGTACGTGGCCTGCCTACACTCACTTCTACCCCGCTGGCCGGCCGCCTGGTCGCCCGAGGAATATGCGAGTGCTGGTCGTGTGACCCGTCGCACTTTCAGAGGGATTCGCGTCTCCCCCATTTTTGCTGCTTCCCGGCCGCGGCGATAGGCTGTGATTATATTGAAGCGAGTGGACACAATGGCGAATGGAGGATGGTGTTTGTAGACTTCACCCCGGTCCCCATTTTTCACGAAGCTCGCTTCAGTCCCCGGAATAATTTCCATTGCTCAAGGCAATACTGACATTTGAATTTGACAGGGTACGCTGCGGATTACTTTGGCAGAAAGGCAGTCTGTACGTAGGCCGAGTTCTCTTCCCCGTGCCCAGTCTCACCGATTGCACACAGACGGCAAGGAGCTCATGCTGATCATCTTCGCGACTATCCTTTGCATCTCCGACCCCACCGGTATGTCCCCTCTCTCCTCCATCCCCGTCACGCAAACTTACCGCGACCCACGCGCCTATGCTCTCAGGCGACCTCTCCCCCTCCGGCTCGCTCATCTGGTTATCCATATTCCGTATTGTCCTTGGAATTGGGATCGGGGGCGATTACCCTATGTCTGCGTCAGTGACAACTGACCGCGCCAACTTGCGCCGGCGCGGGACAATGCTCGCGTACATTTTCGCAAATCAGGGCTGGGGCTCCCTGATTGGTTCGCTGATGTTCATTATCGTGCTCGCATGCTACCGCAACGTCATCGAAGTCCAGGGTGAAACGAGCAAGGTCGATGGAGGTATATGCCTTGTGCTCTTTCTTGGTGCCCGGGCTCACACGACACTCCTGCCCAGTCTGGCGTATTCTCGTCGGGCTCTCGCTTGTCCCCGCATTTGCGACGCTCTACCAGCGACTGACCCTTCCCGAATCCGTGCGCTTCCAGGCCGCGAAGAAGGGCGTGGATCTCGAGGCGGACTCGATCGACGAGCTCAAGAAGAAGGCGGACGCAGATCCGGGTGTGCAGGAGAACGTACAACCTGTTGACCCCGCAGTCTCTCCCTCCGCGACCGTGTCCTCTGTGTCGGCGCCCGCGGACGCGGCGAAGGGCAAGCCCGCGGGGCAGCCCAAGAGCGCATACTTCCGTGGTGCGTCTCGTCGCTAGCGTAATACCATAGGCACAGGAATGACTGACAGCCTGCGTTCCACAGAGTACGCGGCATACTTCTCCGAGTGGCGTCATTTCAAGATCTTGTTCGCAACGTCCGGTTGCTGGTTCCTGCTCGATATTGCGTACGTTTACATGTGTGCCTACTTCGGCATATTTACAATTGACGGTGGCATACCTCCTCGCAGCTTCTACGGTGTGAACCTTAACCAGAACGTCGTGCTCGAGCAAATAGGGTTTGCGGGCAAGTCTGGCTCGCCGTGGAACCGCCTATTCAAGATCGGCCTCGGTAACCTGATTGTGACGGGCCTCGGGTTCCTGCCCGGTAAGCCTCGCGCGTAGCCTGCGGCTCCCGCGGTGTACTCATGCCTCTGCATAGGATACTATGTAACTATCCTCACAATTGAGAAGCTTGGCCGGAAATGGATCCAGATCCAGGGGTTCCTTCTTGCTGCATTCTTCTGTACGTTTAACAGCACGCATCCCTCGTGACGCGCTGATCTAATTGCCGAGATTCTGACAGTGGGTATCCTCGCCGGCATGTTCCACACATTGAGCACGGCGGCCTTCATCGTGAACTTCGCACTCCTGCAGGTGAGTCCACATACTTTACGTGGTGCCTGGGCTTGATATTCACGCGATCTGGTAGTTCTTCTTCAACTTCGGGGCGAACGCGTGCGTACTGCCTTCTTCTCTTCTCTTCGATCTCTCATGCATGTAGATGCACACGACCACAGTACCACATACGTAAGTTGTTCTCCTGTCTCCACGCACCGCTGTGAAGCTCATTGCTTCTTTCCCCATCACAGTGTTACCCTGCAGAAGTCTTCCCTACACGCTTTCGTGCGTCTGCGCACGGCATGTCCGCTGCGTGCGGTAAGGCCGGCGCGATTGTCTCCGCGCTCGCGTTCAACAGCCTCAGTCAATCGATCGGTACACCTGCCGTGCTGTGGAGTGAGTTTGCGTTCGTCTTCTTTCCTGCATGCACTGACTGTTCACCGTGACAGTCTTCTTCGGCTGCTGTCTCGTTGGTGCCGGTAAGTGATATGAACCCTCTTCTGGATTGTTTACCGATCCATTGTCTGCAGCTCTCTCGCTTCTCTTGCCCGAGGTCCGTGGGCGCGACCCAGACATCATTTACGCTGAGGAGCTGCGACAAGCGGCAGCACAAGGACAGTAGTTCATGCTATTCACGGACACTGACTGGCAATGGAAACGATGTACCGATATATAATGACACAGAACATGCTCAAAGCTAACCAGATATGAGTACGTATTGTAGAAGTACGCCATATTAATAGAATACAAAATTTGGTATATTGCTGAGCCCCACAAGGCCTGACTGCTCGTACGACGTATCCGTGCTACATCTAAGATGAGACTCAGCCCCGCTGCACAATCTCGAAACCATGGTAAGTTCGCCATAGCACATCCTGCACGAACGCACTGAATGTGCTCTGCTCAGTACCAACGACCTGCCATGCCCGCGCCGCTATCATCGCATCCAAGAACGGAATCAGGAACGGTTTGAGCTGCAGTCCGTCATACCCGTTCTCGAGGCCGTCCAGTGCAGCTGTATATCTCCCAAAGTCGGACAGAAATACGGTGCATGGAAACGTCTGCACGAAGCGCGCGAGCAGCGGCTCGGTGCGCGGGTCCAACGCGTCCGTCGATATAAAGAGTGGCGTGTTCAGCACCTGCAGAAGCGGCGATGTGTGCAGTGGCCCATGGCACACGAGTTCGTGCGAAGTGTTCCCCGAGAAAGTGTTCCCCGAGAGTGGCGGTAGCGGCGGGTGTGGGACGCGAAGCGCAGGGATATCTGCAGGGATGCGGGGCGGAGCGAGGACCACGTCTTCCAGGTTTGCCTCTGTGTCGCCAAAGTAGAATGCGCGCTCCAGCGCAAGGACGTCCTCCACGGCAAGACCGAGCGAGCCGTGCACGAGCTTCCACCACGCAAGGCGGACATTGCCGTGCGCATTCTCGAGGAAGAGGCCGTCACCAAGGCGTATATGCGCTGCGAGGTACTGCCCGCCGAGCGCGACGCGTATGGCGTCGGCTACTGCAGTCAGCGCAGGGTTGGTGAATGTCATGGACTGCCGGATGCGTTTACGAAAGCTGTAGTTTCCTGGTTTACGCAGGTGTAGGCGCGAGGAGCCGAAGAGCGTTCCCAGGAAGAGGAGACGTTCTGACCGAGGCTCCAGAGAGGGTATGTAGAGGGACTCCAGATATTTGCGGGAGAGGAGAGTTGAAGACTGAGCAAAGTCGACAAAACCATAGTGATTGCGAGCAGTGTCTCTAAGGTAGAAGACGTCTTCACTTTTCATGAAAAGTTGCTCTTCTAGCCAGGCGTCGGTCAAGTTCCAGCAGGCTAGCAGCTTCTGTTCCTTCTTAATTTCGTTCAGGTTGACTAGCCATTCCCAGGGTACAAACGTGTAGTCATGATATCCACGACATTCAGAGGCAACATACAGATCCTCCGAGGAGAGGCCCTTGCAGAACGCGAGGCCAGACTTGCTTGAATTGTTGATCGCACCGCGCAGCTCATCGAAGGGATGATAGTAGATCGGCAGATCGCCCAGGCGCACAGGAGGGACAAGCAAAGTTCGATTGAGTAAGCGCGACAACACGAGAGCATTTTCGAAAGCAATACGCTGGTTATGGAAACCACTATGCGGTAAATAAGCCAAATATCTCTCTCCAGGGTCGCCCGACGGGAGCGTCGACGCAGCTGGTGCCGGGTCGAAGTCAGAGTCAAAGTCAAACTGGACGACTTGAGGCCGAGAGATAGCGTCAGAGCCGCCTAGCACATAAGGAGGAGCACGAGCCTCCCACCTCGTCGTGAATAGATAGTACGCCGCGCCGAATGAGGACAGGGTTGCAGAGATCAGGAGGACGACAAGGACCGCCATTTGCTTCTCATACGACGACGGCGTCGGATGGTGGACGCGCGAGCGGCGTGGCAGCTTGGACGGCGAGCGGGTTGGCGGCGCACGCATGCGGTATGCGCCCTTCTCGGCGGACACAGATGGAGATGACTGCGCCAGACGGGCAGTCACACTTGCGCTATATATGGGCATGCTGACCACGGGCTGTTGGCGACACGCAAACGACAAGGGCTGTAATATGAGCCAAGAATTGAAGTGAACCAAGACGAAGGCTCACCTCTGCGAAAAGCGAGTCAACCCAGGCTTGAGAGGCACTTGTCAGCCCACGTCGTGTAGCGACTATATGCGCCTTATGTTGTCGCTAGAGACTACTAGAACTATTCCGGTAGTGTAGACAGACGTGGTTGAACACTTTTATCGTATTCGTAGACGTCCGAATGCAAGACGAGCGCAACCTTGGAAACCGACAGAGCAGTCGTCCGAGAAGGACAAAATGCACCAAGCGCCCACCAACATCTGTCGAGTGCGCATATATAAGGTCGTCATGTCGAGTTTTGTGGACATCATTGGGCAAGACCGTTTGACATTATAAGCTCATAAATGACGACCACGTTCGTTACTTACATGCAAAGAGATGGGGGCGACGGTAAAGAAACGCGTATCTTAGAACGTGTTGCAGTCAAGAGAACAGAACGACACCAATCTGCGACAGACAACGGGTAGGCCGTAGACCAATGTAATACGACGAAAGATGAGGTGTATGACAGTCATTGCAAAAAGATAGTACTAGTCATGAGGGGATGGGGTATGATGACGGCGAAGGGCAGCACGCGCGCCAGACTCCAGAACGACCAAATCTAGCTAAACGCATGCAGATGCTATATGCTGCCCCGCCGCTCAGAGAACAACGCAGTGGTGCTTCTTGCCACCCTTGGGCCGGCTCAAAAGTGCCGCACGCGTGGCATACTGGAACACCTCGCGCACACCCTCACCCGTCTTGGCTGAGCATTCGAGGTAGTGCTTCGCACCGATCTTCTGCTGAACCGCCATACCCTGTAACATGCAAGCAGCGTCAATCACCGCCCAACTGGCAACCACAAGCGAACCGGCGGTAACAGGGCCCCTGTATTACGTGCTGCGCAAGCACGTGCATGACGGAGCATGACCGCGCAAGTGGACGCAGGGGCGCCCGCAACCGCTAGCGTCGCCCGAATATACGGACGCACCTCCTCGGGGGTGACAGGCCGTTGGTTTGTCTTCCGCAACTCCTCAATTACTCGTGGGTCGCGCCTGAGGTCCTTCTTGCAGCCAACCAAAATGATAGGGAGGCCGGCGCAGAAGTGCATGACTTCAGAAATCCACTGTCAACGTGGCAATGATGTGAACAAGGAGCGCGAGCGCACAGCAGATCGTCGTTAGCAAGCACTTGGCGAAAGCTAAACAATGCATACCTTCTCCTGCACGTTGTCCAGAGAATCAGGTGAATCAACCGCAAAGCAAATGAGGATGACGTGGGAGTCGGGATAGCTGAGCGGCCTCAGACGGTCGTAGTCCTCCTGACCGGCCGTATCCCATAGCGCCAACTCGACATGCTTTCCATCAACCTCCACGTCGGCAACATAGTTCTCGAAGACCGTCGGCACGTAGACCTGTGGTAGGTATTAGCGCCGAGTTTCAACGCATGGAATGTTCGTGTGGCCGCCCGTATTAACGGGCGGATACGAAGGACTGACCTCCGGGAACGTCCCTTTCGAGAAGACAATCAGCAAACAGGTCTGTGGGGGGTATGCGTGATAGCGCAGGTCAGTACAGGGGTGGTACGACAACGGGCGCAGCTGCACGACACACCTTTCCGCAAGCACCATCACCCACAATGACGAGCTTCCTGCGAATTTCAGACATAGCGAAGGATTAGAAGCGACAAGGATATAAATCAAGCGGACAGTGGGTGGTGGGCAACGACGAGGACGGCGGATGTGGAAGCTGAGCAGCGAGGCGACGTCGCAGCGCAATGATAGCAGGCGGGCTTTTCAGCGGCCTTTCAAGTTTCAACTTCAACCCACTGCCATACACAGCAATCCCCATTTTTACGTAAGCACAAGGTCTGTGCGTGAGAACCCTTTGCCTATCTACGGCCACTCCGCCCACGAAGCATACACAGCTTGCGCCTTCTTCTTGCCACTGGCAGCGCCTTGCACAGCTTGCAGTCCAGTATTCGTCTTATCGACGTAGACTTCATGTGAGGCCACACCGCCCAATGCACACATATTCCCCTTCTGGCCCCCAGCTTCCCATCTCGCATATTTGAATATCTTCAACGTCCCACTCGCCCAAGTTCACCCGCATGGGGCCCCTCGTGGGTGCCTGAGGCTCTACTACGTTCGCGGTCTCAGAACGCTCGATCGCAATTGACCGCAGCGCGCTTGAATTCAGTACGGAGGCATACGAGAACGGCTGGCGGATCTTTCCGCGCGGCTTTCGATAGATTGTATTTAAGACAGTGCAATGGAGCTGAACCAGACGTTGATCAGTTCCGACGCGATGAAGGCGTAGCCGCCCAATCTGTGGCTCACTTTTAAAGGGCGATTGCCCAGCACGTAGCCTGCATCCTGAAATGTTCTCTGTATGAATTCTGACAACATTGGCCCCTAGTTTAGTTCGGCGGAATTAGAATTAGATTAACCTGTGCGCACCGGCAACGCTCTTCAACAGTCGCGCACAGTTATCTTCCGGAGATGGGCCCACCCACATTACATGCGCCCGCTCCAGATCACCTCGTTCCGGCTTCATAATGTCCATGCTTCGGAATGCGACGCGCAGCTTCTGGCCGTTCAGCAACTGCATCACCTGCGGTCGCACCTGGTGCAGCAATGCGAGCGCGCCGTCCAGTGTCCGAGATGTGGGCTCGGCATCGAGCGACATGACGCCGAGCGTGAGGTGTAGCCTGCGTGCGGGGATGATGACCGAACGGTCGAGTCCCGGTATGGCGGGCTCCGTCATGAGGAGCGCGTTCGTGAAAGCCTGAACCGTCTCGTGGAGGTAAGTATGGTGGCCCTGTAGATGTACACAATTGTCATGATATTCGAAAATATAAATATTTTCAATGCGGAGACAGTACATACGAGTGGGAGTGCGAGGACTGCGCAAGTGGGTTCAGTTGGCGAACCACGGCGGGATGTAGATGCGAGACCACTGACAGTGCGTCAAACGCGGCTTGGGCACCCTTGGCTCTGTGTCTACGTTTCGGGGACCTTGTGGAATCTGCGTTGAGGGACCTGCTATATTCTCAGGAGCCTGAAGCACTGCGTTCGGGGTATTGGAATGGTTGAACGAAGTGTCCTGTGCGCGCCCGCCTCTACCGCGCCCTCTACCGCGCCCTCTTCCACGTCCTTCGCCGCGTCTTCTATAAGCAGAACCAGGACGATCAGTCTGCTCACTCATGACATTAGCGGTTCGCCAGAAAGCAGACAGCCGGCGTGAGAGTGTAAGCATGCGCCTCGAAACGCGTGGACGCCGTGACATCACCATCAATGTCAATTATCAGGTTAGGGTTTGCGTTTCGCGTTTCGCGCCTCATACTCATACTAGCTCATACTTTGCTCGAGCTTGAATCATGATGTATATGTATTGTGCTCGGAATATATGGCCGTGCTACAACAACCACTGTAACCACGAGCGGAAGAGCTCCTTTGAAGCCGCAAGTAAAGTCATCTTCCCTCGTGGTTGCTGCCGCCCGAGATATCATCTTCCATGTCCGAGGACCCTGGGTTTACCCTCGGGAGTCGTCACTCGTGACCTTCCCAGGGTCAGTGGCAAGTCAACGGTCTATTTTTTTCAAGCCCTCGAACTGATATCTGATATTAATATACAGCGCAGGTATATGCGGAGCCTCCGGCGGCTCCTAACATTGGGCTCCACGCCCTCGTTACAAGCCAGTGGTCAGGGACTGTGTTTGATAATCATGGACACTGGCCGTACATCACCGGATCAGGACGTAGTATAGTCGGGTTGGCTCCGAATCGCGACTTGCTGGAATTAGTGGTGTATTCGATTACACCACACCCTAGGATACCACCTAGGCCCAGCCATGGCTAGTAGTGACGTTTCCGAACCTAGAGGTGCTCCGTGAGTCGCTACATCTCGGGCCACCCGGGTGCCGTACAATCGATTATTGAGTGTTCCAGGTAGTCCTCCACCCCGCAGACTTGGCATGTGCTCAGTTCAGCGCGCTCAGCGGAGCCGGGGACATCCCCGGCAAAGAAGTCTCATCTTTTGGGTGCCATACCTATCATAGGAAGCTGGCTTGAGATTTTTGGGCGGCGTATGGTCCATGGACGCCCAGGTGACGGCGTCATCGTGTTTCCCAATTGAGTCGTGCACCGCATGTCGTGTCATGTCCACCACGGCCTATCGGCGTGAGATACTCCAACACAACGAACACTTTCAAATGCTGATCTCAACTTTAGATAGATTTGTGATAAAGTTGTGTATGCAATGCATTTGACAGAAAGACATTTCAAAGGCATCGGATCAAGTATAGCCTCTGATTGAAGTGCGTTTCCTGTACTATCTAAGGGCGAGGGGTCCTGTCTCCCGGCGGTTCTCGACACTCCCCCAGAGATCTTTATCTGTGCCATGACCGGATTGAACTTGCATCTGGCACCAAATATTGGCTGCATTTATATAGCAGTTATTTTCTCTGTTTTGTAATTCAGTACTCTTAATCCTTGACATTCCAGCTGACTCAAGACTTGTCGCACAGATTCTGGGGAGTGGCATGCGGTCAATTCTTCTACTATTCCCGTCGTTACTCGCGCGACAGGTGGCATATCAACTTTCAAGGCGCTGGTACAAATTTTCGCATCGCGATACGATATGGTTTGTATGCCGAGGCGTCCATCTCTATCACAAGGTTATGTTTACATGGTGAGAATATGCCACGTTTACCGTTGTATGCTTTGGATTTCACTCATGAAGGCCGCCAGGATTTTGGATACTGGGACCACTATGTCCGATATCGCGGTACAGTTGTATCTACTATGCTTCGTGTATTCCACGACGTCAAGTTCTAAATACCGTTCGCAGGTCATCTGGAACATTACTGTGATATCGCATGCTAATATCTCTGCAATCTTTCCATTGAGCAAGTCTGTGATCATTCCTACAATGCTACAGCATGCTATGTCTCACTATGATGATTTGAATATAGCGCCACGTTGGTAGGCGACCTAAACTATCCTCCGGTGTGTGACGCTGACACAACGTGCAGGTCAGCTATGGTCTCTCCGTGAGTTTTTGGAGACTGAATTTGCGGCTCCTAGTCTCTAATCGTAGAAGGATATCAATGTCTTGATAGTACAGTGGTATGGAGCATGTCCGAGACATATCCCTTACTTTCCCTGTTGACGTTATTTGCAGCTATTATGCCTATCACATCTGGCACTGTGGGTCTTCGATGCTACATTCAGCTACCAAGATGTTCATATTATGACATTCGTCTTGTCAGTACTTGCAAACACGTGGTATCGGCCGGTCATCGTTGTTGCCACGGTATGTTCTATTCTCTGATCCAGATTTTCGAGTTTTCTGATGTGTCTGGAAATGAGGTCCTCCTTGCAGTCGTGTCATGTGGTGTGCCATTTATGTTTCCCTTTGCATTCATATCTCTTATCTATCTGTTTTGGGTCAGCATCTGGTTTTGGTACGTACTTGGAATCCTCAACTCTAACAATGAACATTTATTGAGCATGGGTACAGTGGGAGTGCATTTAGCGTAAGGGCAAACTTGATCTGTATCTGCGCTAAAAACATATACTAGTTGTCAGCTATGTATATGGGAGCTCGGTGAATGCATTCGCTCGGCTTAAGGGACATTTGAAATTACATGTTACTCCTTGCATTCTCACTTGTTATTTACAGGTAGCATCTCCTCTACAAACTGTGTCCGCCTCAGTTGCGGATATCATCACTACCACGACACTCGTACTCTTCATGCGGGACAAACGCACAGGACTTAAAAGGTGACTACTTGGCGCTACTTGTGCGGGCGCTCACTGACTTGTACAGCATGGAGAGGTTGCTCGACAGGCTTACGGTCATCATAGTGAACCGCGCGCTCATGACTACGTACGTGGTGCTTACTCGGCCTCACGACTCGTGTTCACACACCCGTGTCAGAATTCTACAACTCGGGCAATTCATCACTGTGAGAGACTATATCTGTGGATGCCCCTGATCTCAATACTCGCATGGACCTAGTATCGCGCTTTCTCCCCGGACGTTTTCGTATGGATCATCTTCCATTCCGCTGCCGCGAAAGGTATGAATGCCATTCCTTGTCCCCAACTCGTCTGACCGTGGTCATGTACTGCAAAGCCTACGTCAATTCTCTATATGCATTGTGCGTATGCGATGCGACAGAAGTCCACCCTTGCGCGTTCTGATGACCGCTACTAGGCTCAACTGCAGGCGTTTCAGTGGACGAAGAACAATGACCATGACGTCATCCAGTATCATGGATGTTCCTCTTGAGGAGCTGGCTCACAAGTGATTTCCATATGACAGTCCGATTTGCTCGAGGTCAAAGGACTTGTGTAGCACGGCTAGGCGCAGTCAGATATAATGCGAGCAGCGAGGCAGGACCAAGTGAACTATATCCTTGATGACAATCAAACGTGGCCCATTTATAGAACAAAGAAAATATATATCGAAAAGCATATTGCGTAAACTGATAATAGTCGCGAGGCAGGAGGATATGGTATAGATATAATCCACTCGTAAGCACATCGCCGTCGTCGACCAATCATCTACTGCATAACGCTTGTGGTGGTCATTCATTGAAAGGTCCGATTCAATGACGTTATCAACCTCCGCGTTAGACACCACTGCTCCTAATAGCGTTTGCATGTTACAAAAGTGCCGGGCTTGATACTTCATAAGGGCTACAAAAATACGGGCTACAAAATGTCGAGTGGTTCATGTTCGTCCCGACAGACACATTCTTCTACAAAACACCGTCGGTGAGCATATTCGACACGCACCAGATGTATACATCTTCATCCTTCCCGAAGCATCCGCAACCACTATAAGCGCTGTGGGCACTATATTAACTTGGTGCGTCCCGCCGCCGTCATTGCGCCACATATTTATTGGCCGTGAGACCCAGTGCCCAAAGAAGGCGTAGACAACACGAATCTGACGAGACCGTGTTCAATGACGATTGGTTCACTTCCGTCTAAATCAAATGCGAAGATCGTTACTGCAGGCGCTCTCTTCCGGTAAGGTTTTCTGCGTCTGCAGCTACAGTTCCCGGAGCGATATAGTTAGTGACCCATCGGTACTCTGTACACTGCGGAAATAGGAAATGGAACGGACCGAAAGTGCATCTTTCTGCTGTAAAGCGAAGGAGGTGCTATAGAGGTGGCAGGTACTGCTACGGAGGTTCAGTAGAAAAGACTAAGGCGAGGGATAAAATCGAGATGCTATGATTCACCTTGAGGCGACGGTACACAAGGCATGCGCAGAGTTGATGCGCAGAGAAGTTCCGGATGGCTGAGTGCGAAGGAACGCCGTCCGCGGTGCCAACACAGGCACCGCTACGCAGCACGAATCCCTTTGTTGGACACTCCTTCACAGGGCGACATGAGGGTCTGCCAAAGGGCAGGATGCGAGAAGTGGTTGCATGTACCAAATTCATGTTAGTAGAGGTAGGACAAATACAGTGGCACGTTTCGCGGTACCAAGGGGAGAACCAGCAAAGAGGGAGAGTGTGTCGGAGGGTGCACGCATTGCGTCTGTACAACATAAGGTAAAGCACAGCGAGGGACGGGATTCCAAGATCGTATAACCATAGTGTAGTAGAGCAAGGCTGTCCATTTCCTTATGTGCCCGGGCCGGACCAGGTCGCGGACATTAGCAGATGGCTAAGATGCTTGATATTTCCGAACGGAACATCGATCAATATGTCACCGCAGGCTTCTCATAGTCTAATCTTGCGCTTACATTTTCGGCCCGCGCGCTGAGCTGTTCGGAAGCGGAACTGATTACCATAAGAGGTCAGACTCTATAATATGTATATGTGGCAAGTAAAAGACCGTGCATTCAGCTCCCATTGAAGCTGTCGGGGCATCTGTGTCGGACAAGGTATAGCCACATGAGCCGCTCGCGAAGAAAGGCGAGAGGATACCAGAGCTACTGGTGAAATAAAGCCGAGCGGCTAACGAAAAGACGGTGTTATGCTGAAGGATTACGAGCCAGGCGCAATCAGGGACTGCCGGGCGGACGACACAAGATAAGGCCACGCACACTTGTACTCATCATCTCGAGTAATTATTTTGAACGTGTGGCCGACAATACACGCGCTCTTGCACTGTCGCATTGTAGTGTAGTCTCCAGAGACCGTCTCACCGAGCAGGTCGCGGTGCGATACTTCTGGCTTGCTTCTTAGCCTCCCCGGCGAGTCGCCCGGCTTTCTCCTCTGCGCGTTCCTGTCTGGTTTCGCTCTGGCACACCGGGTTCTTGAGGAGGAACTGATGCCCCTGGACCGATTGTCAAAGGTACGTCAGAGTGTTTGAACAGGATGCGAGCGGGTCTCGAAATGATTCTGCATAATAACGCCCGTCATAGGATTGTGGCGTTGATTGCCACAAGTTGTTGCTCCTTTGATTCCGTGTATCGAAGGCGCTAGTATTGGCGTGGATCGGTCCCACGATAAACGTCTCACAATCTTGCGTGCCGCCGCATACGTCGGTGAAAGCAGACCGCACAGACACCGCATCAAGAGAAACGCCGAGGTCATGGCCGAGCCAGGCGCACGCGCAGGCTTTGGACGCTCCACCGCCACCCGGAGAGCGCTAATGAGTCGTGCGCCAGAACACGTCGTTGACAGATGCAGACCCAATAGAGTAAATTAGCATCAGTTTCGCGGGGTGTCCCTGGCCGCAACGTTGTTGTAACTAGGCTTGGCCATCATGTCATATGCGTAGTGCTCAGGCGGGCACGAGCAGCCCGTGACCGAAGGATGGTAAGCTGTGATTCCGCATAAGTTGTTAGTTAAAAAGAGACTGTGGGTAACGAAGAGGTCACGCGGCGGTCGTGCATTGCGTCAAGACTTACAACCGGGCGATGCTGAAGAGGGCGTTCATTTTGAATTAAAGTGCAGGTGATGACTGTAACATTGCTTGATTCCATTTGAATATGAGCGAGGGATGATGATGTAAACGGGAATGATTGTGAGATCCAGATCTGGGGCTGTGGAGGTCATTTCGATTGACATGGTGGTCGCGGAGACGGAAAGTCGCGGTGAGCTGATGCCGCCCAGTGAACGTCCGGGCGCGCAATGGGCGCGTTCCTGTAGGTTCCTGAGCAAGGAGTCTTCGTCGTCGAAGACGTTGGGGCGTATGTTGAGAACAAAAATAGTGTATTGGGTGCAAGGAAGAGAAGGGGATGACGAGGCTAGCAAGGCCAACGGAGGTGCCGCGGCGGGGCAGGACTAGCGACGGCAGAAGCGCCGGAAGACTAGCTGGAGAACATGATCGGGGACGACCTTGCCCAGCCAACGGTCTTGCCGCCGCACAGATGCCCTTGCTCATATTACTCGCCTAGCCCCCTGACGCTCATTTTCCTTACCCAGTCTCTCTTTCCTCCTCGCCCCCACCCACCCCTTCATGCATGCAGACGCCGCTTCTACCTCGCGTGTATGGAAAGGCAAGGCCAGACAGCAGCCCGTCCGCAGAGAAGGCCCCGGCGGAAATGGCGGCGTCGTGCTGCCTCTCCAGCTTCTCTCGGGCTCTCCCTACGAGTCGTGAGTGTCCTATCGCCAGCACTCCCATCGCTATCTCATCACGCGCGCAGTGTGTACACCCTCTCCGTCCTCGTGGGCCCCTCCCGTCAGAACCTTTCCCTCCAGGTCGACACCGGCTCCGCAGACCTCGTCAGCTACCCGTCCATCTTCGCTGTTCCATCCACTGACCGTGCTCCCAGTGGATTGCATCCAAGTCATGCTCCTCATCATCGTGCAGCCAGACAGGCGGGCACCTCTACGACCCCTCCTCCTCAACATCGACCGGCCAGACATTCGACATGACTTACGCTGAGGGCCAAGTCATCGGGCCCATCGTGTGGGATACGGTAGACGTAGGCGGGTACACCATTACGAACCAGGCACTAGGTGAGTTCTTGCATCCACCCCCAGTCGCGTTCGACATGTCATCACTGTGCCCGACTGGCATTCGTCACCACCTTCCTGGCCGTGTGTATGCACGGCTCTTCATCGACCCAGACACATCGTCTACGACAGGCGCGGTATATGGCAGCGCATCTCATGCTTCGCTTATGTCTGGAGTCGGTCTTGGGCATGGTGATCCATTCGCGTCGTGGTCACATTCCTTGACTATCCCCCTCATCGCCAGTCTTTTCAGATTATGGCTTTCCGATACATGCACACCTATGTGCGCCTATCATGTTACTGGTATTCAGGTATGCGACCGCATCCTGTTGTAGACAGTCGAGCAGGCATGGCATGCTCGGAGGTCTCCCGTAATCTGCAGCCCATCACACTGGTTGATACCGGTATGTGATGCGCGTCGTCTGCTAGACCTTCACTCAAACTGGAGTGATCATCGCCATCTTTGATACCGCATCCGCGCTCACCATGGTTATCTCGCTTCTTCCTTCCCAAACGCTCACCTCCCGTCTCCACTCGTATTGTTATCTTATTTCTACCGCCTTTCAGCTGCCGCTTCGACCGTCAATGAAGAACCTCTAGAATCCGAGTTTACCGGTATCCTAGGCCTCGCCCTGCCCCTCGATTCCGAGATAGCGCAACAGGTCCCACAAGAATTCACGAACAACGCAGATGGCGCGGCGTTTGCCTCTAACCTGTTCAGCATGACTCCGAATGACACTGCACCCGCCGAGCCCTTCATTTCTCTTGCGCTTGAGCGACCCGGCTCCAGCGCCGTACCCTCGGTACTGGGAATCGGTCGACATCCAGATGCGGTGGTGTCCGACCCCAGCACGATCCACTATGCCAGTCTGGTTACTGAGCGGGTTGGTGCGCTGTACTGGGAGGCGAGCGTCCGAGGTATCACGGTCTGGGTGAATGGCGAGCCGAAGGAGGTCACGCTGGGCGAGTCGGTGTCGGGCCTGGCGTATCCCTCCGCGGTGCTGGACTCGGGGACGCCTGTGATCCTTGCGTCGCCGAGCATTGCGAACGGCATCTACGGCGCGCTGGGAATATCGCCCACCTCCGACGGAACGTGTGAGTCCGTCTTGACGTGTTTTGTGTGCGCGGTGTGCTGACGGCACGTTAGACTACGTCCCGTGCACGATGCCCATCAACATGACGATCACGCTCGACGACCGGCCGCCGATCGCGCTGCACCCACTGGACTTGTCGTACCCGCCCGATAGCGGCGCCACGGTGTGCACGGGGATGATCCAGAACGCGGCGCTGATCGGCGCGTCGATCTCGCTCCCGGACCTCGTTCTCGGTGTGCCGTTCCTGCGCAGCACGTACACAGTCATGGCGTACGAGCCACCCGACAGCGCGGGCGCGTTCCTCCCGAACGACACTGTGCAGGCGGCGGGCTACATGACGAACCCGCGGCTGGGCCTGCTGGGTCTGACGAACGCGACGACGGCGCTGCAGGAGTTCACGACCGTGCGCGTGAACAACCAGCCGCTGGATCCCACCGCGCAGGGCAGCACGCCTGCCTTGCCAACACACCATAAGCTGTCGGTCGGCGTCGACGTGGTGCTGGGCTGTGTGGGCTTTTTCGTGCTGTGTGGGCTCATCTTCGGTGCGCGGTGGATGTACATGCGGCGGCGCCCACGTCTGCGCTCTCTGGAGGCGCTGCGCGATAGCGGCAGCAAGGGCGACCTTGCGGACGTCGCGTACATCCTGGCGCGGCGCGGGAGCATGACGGATCGCTACAGCACGTCCGACGACACGGCCCGCGCGTCGCGGTACTCGCAGTGGTCCCACCGCGCGGACGTCTCGTCGCAGTACACCACAGACACGCACCGCATGTCGCACTTCTCCGACTACGGCGCCGCCGCGGTGCTCCCTACCCATGCAGAGCAGGACGCCGCCCTCCGGTACACGGACACCACGCTCGTCGCCGACCCCGACGCCGCCGACGAGTTCGGGCGCGCCGCGGGCAAGCTCAGCCCGCCCCCCGGCTCTGGCTCCCCCGGCTTCCCCACCGGCGCGGGCACGGGCTCGATCTTCGCGCGCCAGCAGGACCAGCGCTACTCGCTCACGCTGCCCGGCTCGCCGCCGAACTCGCCGCCGTACATGCACCGGTTCCTGCCGGGCCGCCCGGGGCCGTGCGCGGCGCCGCCGCACCGACGCACGGCGAGCGACGACAGCGCGGTGGCGGTGCCGCTGCTCGAGCGCGCGCGCTCGGAGGACGTCACCGAGGGCGCATGGGCAGACGTGCGCGCGAGCATAGGCTCGAGCGCGGGTGCGGGCTCGCCGCGGGGGACGCTGGCGAGCCTGCCTGTCGTGGAGGGCCAGCCGCGCGTGTTCGCGGCGCTGTCTGCGGACCCGGGTGCGCGCCCATCGTCGGCGCGCTCCGACGGGCCAGGGTCATGACAGCCCCTGGTTGTTGTGCCTGTCTCTGATTTATCTCGTTGCTCTGCAGGTGCCGGGGCCTGCTGCTTTTTGTTTCGCTCATGGGTCTTACGGGTCCACCACATCTCTCGCTACAGCCAGCCATCGATGTCCGCGGACTCCCACACTGCTGCTGCTACAGCTCGTTGTCTTAGTGTACACTACTGTCGTTGGCCGATTGGACGCTTTGCCTGCCTTCGTTTACGATACTGACCCCGCGCACGCCGCGCTTGCCCTATTAAAGGAACCACACACTACGCATGTACTGTAGTCTGTCTGCGTCATCTCCATAAGCTATTTCATCTGGATGCAGTCTGCACTTTACTTGGCGTCGGCGTTTTCGGCAGACGTAGGCGCGCGATGGCAATAGTGACGCTGCGCCGACATGATTGATCGAGGCCGTCATATGACCTAACCTGTCTTGCCTGCGCCCACAACGTCTCTCTTCGTCTGCCCCGATCTCACACTTGCCTCGCCATCGCCGAGAAGAGCGCTCGCGGCGTGTATATGTATAACACGGCGTCTTGCCAGGCTGTACTTCTACTTCTACCCGCACCCATCTGAACGACAGGGTCTGTCTGCACGATCTCGCGCATCGGCATGAACGTGAACAAGCCCAACGACAGAGGCTACATCGGCCTCGCAGACCACGGACTGTGAGCTTCGCACTTCTGGACTGCCATAGCCCTCGTCTTACAAGAGACCCCCCGCAGTATCGGCAACCTCAGGACGGCGGCTCTGGTGAGTATCTCTGCCGCGCACATGTCGAGCTCGCACTAGAGACTAGACGCGTTTTTGCAGGTCAGCATCGATGGCTCCGGTGAGTACTGCATACCCTGTGTGGTTTAGAGCTCGCCTGCAACGCCTCCTCCCCCCCCTCACCTGCGCGAGTGAGGGCTTGTCTGGGAACGGGAAGACTCGCGCGGATCTGTTACTCCTGGAACCTAACCCTAACCTCATACTCGTTCTCCCTGCAGTCGAGAGCTACTGCGTCCCCAACTTCGACTCTCCGTCGATTTTCGCGCGTATCCTGGACAAGGACAAGGTCGGCAGTTCTCTGAACTGCATCCCTGCGCTTGAAATGTTTTCTGATTGTGCTTCTGTAGGGCGGCCACTTCTCGATCACGCCGACCATCCCGTTTACCACCAAGCAGAGCTATCTCCCTAGTTCCAATGTATGCATACACCCAGTCATCTGTGAGAAGTTCTGATCTCTCAATTTCGCTGTGCATTGCTTGCCTTAGGTGCTACGAACAAAGCACGTCATACTATTGTTGCTGTCTTGCCCCTTCTTGACAGGTTTCCAGGTTTCTCAACGACCAAGGCGTAGCCACAGTAACAGGTACGAATATGGTGCTTTGCAAGACACGCCCAGAATGTAACCATCGGTATATTGGCAGACTTCCTCCCGCGCCAGCCATCAAGTTCCACCACCCGACCATTGCTAGCCTGGCTGATCCGTCGCGTCGAGGCACGTTCTTGAATGCTCTGCATGCCAGAAACCACTATATGCGCGCTTACCATGAATGTCGAATGACAGGTGATCCGCGGCTCGCTGCCCCTGCGCGTCGAGTGTGCCCCAGCCTTCGACTACGCACGTGCCGCGCACACCACCGAGCTCATCGCCGACGACTCGATTCCGAGCAACTTTGCCGCGGCGAAGGCACCCAGCAGGCACAACAAAGCCGTCTTCGCGTCTGACGCCGCGAAGCTTTCCCTCGACCTGCGCTATGTTGCAGAGTCGTCGCTCGACAACGTGGCCGACCCCGAGATCGAGCTGGTGCTGCTTGATCTCACCAAGAAGGGCCATCTCGGGCCGGGCGTGAGCTGTGATCTGCGCCTAACCGAGGGTCAGACTGTCACGTTCGTTTTGAGGATCCCGCCGGAGAGTGAACAATTTCAATCTCCTGCATCCCGTCCGACGCCTCAGAAGGCGCAGGAGCTGGGGGTGCCGTACGAGAGTGCGTCCTCTGTCGGTGTCTCTATCCCATCTCTCAGCCCCATAATATACTTCCGGTGTTAGAGCTTCTGGTTGGCGCCTCGGAGCTGCGAGCCCCAGATGATCCGTTCCTGACCAAGGTACGCAAGCAAACTCGTTGCAAGAACTATTCGTCGTGACAATCGTGTAGAGCTTGCTCCACGAGCTTCTGAAGGTGAGTGTTTGCACCTAAAGTTATGGGGCGATCTCTGACTTTCCCGCGTTGATAGGGCACCAACAAGTACTGGAATTCGTGGATCCGTCGTTCTACGTATGATGGGTCGTGGAAAGAAGCCGTGCATCGCAGCGCACTCGCGCTCAAGCTCCTCATTTACGAGCCAACGGGTATGCGCTCATCGAGCTCCTCTGTATGTATCCACAACATATCCTTGTCGATAGGTGCCATCGTAGCAAGCCCTACTTTCAGTTTGCCAGAATACATTGGCGGTACGAGAAACTGGTGAGCTATCCTCCGGTGGAATAATAACTGTTTGACACGAATATGTCTCCCGCGTAGGGATTATCGGTATGCATATTATTATTGGTGGGATATGTCATTACCAACGCGAATGCCGTTAGGGCATCGTGGATCCGGGACTCGTCATTCACGTTATACGCGCTCATCCGCCTCGGTTTCACTCACGAGGCGAACGGCAAGTGCACCATGCTGATGCTTAGCATTCAAACGTCACTGATGTGACGAAACTCCCCCAGCGTACATGGAGTTCATCTTCGAACGTCTGCGCAACAAGAATCCCGACGGCTCTCTGAGTATCATGTCAGCCTTTCTTTCCCGCTTATCACCCATTGTATGTCCCAGCGTACTGATTCTATGGACCCTAGGTACACCATTCATGGTACGCGCATCGCTTTCTCCATCTCTGGTGTTATGTTCTGATTTTGTGCAGGCGAGAAGCTCTTCCCAGAGGAAGAACTGACTCATTTAGATGGGCACAAAGGCTCGAAGCCTGTCCGGTACGTGTGTCCCCCCCCCCCCTGACATCCTGCTCTAGCGTGGTAAACTAACACCATACATTCAGTATTGGAAACGGCGCTATAGATCACGTCCAGCTGGTACGGTCTGATAGATTTACAGTCCATGATGTACGCTTATGTGTGCTGTTGGAAAACAGGATATATACGGCGAATTGTACGCATGTCAGTGTTATGTGATAAGCAGCTCACTAGGCCCGCTTGCTGACGAACTGTTCAGATATACGCTATCACAGCTAGTACAATGTCTAAATCACTAATCTTGCATAGAATGGATTGTATATACCTTTCGCAGAAGGCACGTCTCACTTTCCTTGGGTGTTCATCCATACTGACGTCCATCTAGTATGGCAAACCACTGGTAAGACTGATCCAGACAGAGGCGCCCTCCGCCGCTAATTATTCTTTACTGTTATATTTAGTCCTATGACACTTGGTACGTCATGAGAGAATGGCAGCTCCTCGACGTACTGACGAAACGCGCGCCCCAGGGTTGCCGTCCGAGAAATGTACGTGCTCTCCCTCTCCCGTCTCGACCCGGACATATCTGAGCAATGTATCCAGTGTCGACTGTAAGGAGCATATAATCACGATAGTCTCCTGCTAAGTGGTATTTAAAGACGTTATTGCTAACCGCAACCAGCCCGATCTGTGCGTCCACCGTCATCATTTAAGAAGTGGTAGCACTGACATGCCCTGCCATTCTGTGATCACACAGGTCAATATGGTATGTGCTCGGGATTATTCAACATAAGTCACGAATCATAAATTGCGTTTATAGGGAAGTTCGCAACCGCCATCGCCATTTCACGGTGCGTGGTACAAATGATCTTGCCAAACGATTGTATAAATCCTTTGTTCTAGTACTCGAAGATCATGATGTGGTATGTCTGTCAGTCTCTATCGTATATGGAACGCGTGACTAGATTTTCTTGCTAGGGTCGCAATTGATAGAGGTACATATAATGCATCTGTAGCCCATATACCATCGCTCACCGCTTGTAGGGATACGGCTCGCGGAGAAACGCTCGCTTCCGTGTCCCAGACGGAACGAGTGGTATGCTGCGCGAGACGCCCTTTACGAGGATATCATGCAGAAGGCATGGAACGCAGAGGAACAGTTCTTCGCACAAAGCTATGAAGACCAAGATGTGCTCGACTCGGCGTTGCTCATCATGCCGCTAGTCTTCTTCATGACACCGGTACAACTTCCGTTCATCTGTATCATTTGCTGCTCATCTTGGCGATCTAGTCGGATCCTCGCTTCTTGAGTACCTTGCGCCGGATTCTGCGGTCCCCGGAGCGAGGCGGTTTGACATCCAATGTGGGTTTATATGGCATGTATAGAACAAGGGCCAACTGACAAACCGACATAGGGGCTCGTCTATAGGTATGACGTCAATAAGACCGACGACGGCGTAGGTGGCGAAGAGGGAACCTTCGGGCTTTGTACACTATGGTAACCTGTCAGCTCTGGGAGGCACTCTATGTATTGCTCATATGGCTTATAGGTGTGTTGAGGCGCTCGCTCGCGCGGGAGAGCACGACAAGACAATGCACATGCAAGCTGTTGGAATGTTCGAGGTGAGTGCTCAGCTGTTTCTAGCCTCGACGGTCGAACTTCATCTCTTCTCTTCAGGACTTCCTCCAGTACACCAACCATCTTGGGTTATGCACCGAAGAGATCTCCGCAGCTGGCGAAGCGTAAGTGGTTGGCAACTCTGACGTTTGCATTGATCTCACGATGCCCACCCAGACTTGGCAATGCAGTTCAAGGATTCACGTAAGCCTTGTGGTTCCTCCCAGCTTGGTATAGTAGACTGATTCACGATGACTTAGGCACGTCACCCTTATATCTGCGGGGTACAATCTGTCTCGGATGCAAGCCAAGTTCAAGAAGGAATGAAGCCCTAGACATACACTAGCTTATCATTTGGGGTCAGTTGAAGGAAAACTGATGCTCCAAAGGCCTCTAGTGTCAAGGATATTTCAACGTAACTATCGCTGAACTAGAACCGAGAGCATCGCTTTCAACTATGAGGCTGCATTGCAATGTCATTCTCATCACCTTGCTGGGTGCTCCACAGACGCCGTGAGAGGAATGTGAAGTGACACCGTTCTCGAATCAGCTGTACGCTTGATACAGCTCTCTGTGCTTCTCATGTCGGACGATTAGTAATGCTGACCGTCGGAAGCTCAGCTGACTTCAGCGGCGGCTACTATTTAAATGACGCTCGCGCGGCGCTTGAGGGTTCCCCTGGAAGTTGCAGATACTTTGGCAGGCTTCGGCACTTCGTAGCCGCATACTATTATCTACTCTACTCTACGACAGCTAGCCTCTTCATTGCCAACGAACATACTCCTCTCGCAACCATCAAAGGTTGATTACAAGCCAAGATACTCATAACTGGTCACAGCCCATCAACTCTCCGGTGATGATCTATTGATCACGTCGGGGGCGTGTTATTGTGGTGTCAATCATGTCTTCTTTGGTTGGTGTACCTTGCATCATTGATACTCTGGACAGATTCATCAATCCGTCCAAGTTTAGCGCCCCCTTCAATCACTATATAGATAACAGTCGTGCACGCACCTACGCAGCGACTGTGCGAATAAGTGAGTCACAATCAGACGTCTTCAGACTAACACTCTTTCTTATGATGCGATATAGAGTAGGAAGCTTATAAACAGCATCGAACATGCCCTTGCTTCGTCTCCTCTCCCCATACTTGTGCGGATTCTCCGTGTCATCCACAACCATAGGAAGCACAGCTACCGTCTCTCACATCACTCATGTGCCCGCCGCGCGAAGTGAAGCTGTCCACCAAAAGACATTGCCACAGCTTCCTATCGAGATCTGGCATCTATTCATTGACTATCTCTACTCCTGGGGATGCTCCGATGACCTCAAGGCCTGTTCCCTCGTATGCAGAACATGGGCTTCTCGAAGCCGGTTCCTCCTTGCCAGAAATTTACGCCTTAGTGGACACACGACAATGATGCAACTTGTACGCAAGATGCAGAGCGGCCTGCATGGCTGCACACCTTTCCAGGTGGAGTTCATACGACTAGGAGATCCCAATGCAGAGACACTGCTCCATCTCATGTCGTTCGCAGCGACATTTGGAGGTCACTTTGTCGGCTTGACACATCTCGAACTCAACGGCGTGTGGCCAGAACTCATGCATCCAGACTTGTACATTCACCTCTCGTCCTTCTCCTCAGTCACACGGCTTGACCTCCGCACTGTCACGCTTCCCAACGTCTCCACGTTCGGTCGGCTGGTCGGTGCACTCCCCAACCTCGTCCACCTCACCTGCAGACAGACTACAATCACCCAGCGCATTGGGGACGATGATTACGGAGTGCACCCCACCAAATTTGCTCTGTTTCGAATGCGACCATTGCGACTGTCGCATTTCGAGTTCGATCTTGGATTCTGGAATTGGCGCATCATCACGTTCATGATTCGCGCCGGCTGGAACATCGGTCTGCGCGATGTCAGGCTCATGATCTCAGGCCACTTTTTCAAGTCCAATATTCCGTGCTTGGTGCCATTCCTTGCAGGAATTGGAAGTTCGCTGCGTACATTGTCGTTGGTCGTGCTTGATGTCCCCTCTCGGAATGTGATTTGTGAGTCATATTTCTTGTCAGTCTGCACCGTGCAGGGACCCGACACTGACCGTACTGCAGCTGATATCGACCTCTCCACCAATACGAGGTTAGAAACGCTGGCCATCAGGTCGCATATCCTCCTCAAAGGCGATGAAGACATGGAATACTACTGGATGGAACATCTGTTGTCACAAGTGAAATCCCAGGCGATCCGTGAGGTCGTCATCTCTGTAGATTCGGATCAAGATGATGATCCGTGAGTGGTGGTGCAGAATTCCTCGTATCACGTGTTTATAATGATCTCTTTAGTGCGTTTGGCCGTGAAGAGAGCGGAAGGTGGCTACGCGCATTTGAAGGGGACATCGATATGGCGGCTCCGACATCGAGCGCACTTCGCTGCGTCGCAATCGAAGCCGCACTGATGCTTCCCCAGTTCGAGCGGCTAGAGCGTATCGTGATTGAGTACAGATTTGGACTGGAATTTGAAGCTGACATTGGCATCACCGAGGCGCGGTGGTCAAACTTGATGAGGATCCGTTTTCCTAGACTGCACGAGCGAGGGATCCTCCAGTATGTATTCAATTTACCTTGAGCGAAGTCAGGCTACTCACTGAACAACGGCATGTACAGCCCGCGAGTTGCAATGAATATGGGATATCCCGTCCGCCGCAAATGAGGCCATGCAGCATATAATCAGCATGCACTGATCGCGAATCATATAACGAGAGTTGTCATCTTGTTGTAATTGGAGGGTCTAGGGCGATCTTGCACAGTAGACATGGTCTGATACCAAGTGTAGGATGCTTGCATACGGCCGCAATGATCCATACCGGAGGCCAAGTATCGATGCCGCAAATTAATTTTGCTTGCAAGAGTGGTTTTCGAGATACTGCTGCAGTAGGCCATTGATTCAGACTTGACGTTCTTTCCACTGTCCATTTTTGGATTTCGAACGCTATCATGCTTCTGCATCAGCATCTGGCATACACGGCATTTGCACAGCGTTGCCTGCAAACATATATACTTACCCCTTCACCCCGAATCAACTACATTCAAGCACATTTTGACTCGTCCTCCTGTGCTTTCCTGGGGAAGCCAAGCAGTAAGGTATAAACTGACGGCTGTAGGGATCCGCGTGCATATTTGGATACGCCAGAAGGTTGCCCAAGAGAATGATCGTAGACTTCCTCCTTAAACTGAAGAGCGCAGTGCAGAAGTACATACAGAAGGTGACAGGTCGTCGTAGCCGAGAGAATACGTACGTCATCTTATGCGTGGTCGTCTTTAAATCTGACTGAAGACAACAGCGAAATGGTTAGGCGAAATGCTCCTATCGATTCGAACGTCGCGTTACAGGTGAGTTCCATAAAACGATGTACTTGAAGAGTGTCCTTAATGTCCCTTCCTCTTACGAAGGGTGCTTTGGGCTCAGAGTCCCATTCCCCGATGAAGGCAGTACGATTGCCACCGGAAATCTGGGATCTCATCATCGATCTTCTTTATCTTTGGGAGCTCTTCGACGCGCTCATTGCATGCACCCTTTGTATGCAGGCAATTTTGCGCCAGAAGTCAGCTATGGATCGCCAAAGTCATGCATGTACGACATCGCGAAGACATTATTCGACTATCACGGGCCATAATACGGGACCCCCGCTCTGCGCTGTTACTGTGCGCGGAAAGGGTGGTGCTGCGATCTTCCTTTGATCATGGACAAATGGGACATCTGGGGCCATTCGCCGCGGTGTTTGCAGGACGCCTTACCCACGTGAAGGAACTTATTGTCTACGGGAAGTGGCAAGCAGGCGGGCTACACATGGACTTCTTCAATCACATACACTCCTTCTCAACCATTACACGGCTCGTGCTACCGATGACCGAATTTCCCAACGTCACTACCTTCGGCCGCTTCATCTGCGCCCTCCCTAATCTTACCGGCCTCCGTTGTGTGCCGGTGTGCGACACACACCGTCGTAACGACGACGATCATGACGCTGACACGATCGCGGATCCCCTCCGATTCAAGACCAGATCACTTAGTCTCACGCATTTCGATTGTGCGACGGACGTGCACTCGGATATAATTGGGTTTTTGACTACTACTGGGTGGAACTCCGGTCTGCACAACATTAAGTTGCAATTCGATACACGCTATCGCTCATCGAAATCGAAGTCGATAACACCCGTATTCTCGTCGTTTTTCAAAGGAATGGGAAGGTCGCTTCAAAAACTCACATTCTGTGTGTGGGGCCTCAATCCTCTACCTCGAGCGTTGATTGGTGGGTGGTGGATATTAGCTCCCAGCACTAACGGTTCGTAACACTTCTATTTGCCCTACAGATGACATCAGGTTGCCTATCCACCGACGCCTAGAGACGCTGGAAATACACTTTGAATATCTCGTCCCTCTTAGCCTTTTTGATAAAGATTATTACTGGCTGCCGCATCTATTATCTCAAGTCAGCTCCGAGACAATTCGCCACGTGCATCTCGTCATCGATCGGCGGTGCGGTGAGGTATCCGGGCATAATGGTGACAGACGTAGCAGCAAAGTCAGGCCGAAGATGCGGCACCGCAATCACGCAGGTCTCACTCACCCGGTTGTGCTGAGTATGCTTTATGACCACTGTAGGATGATTGAAGACGAGCTGTCGTTCCCGCCGTACGCTACCCTCCAGCGTGTCACCATCGAGTACAGATTCCGCTTTGAGGACGAGCTCTGTACGCTGGGCCAGGCACAGTGGTCGGAGGCGGTTCAATTTCGCTTCCCAAGGCTACTCCAGCGAGGGCTTTTTTGGTATGTACCTTGCGTCTTCTGCAAATATATGCAGCCATGGCATTGCTGAAGGCTGGCTTTGTAGGACGCCGGTCACCGTGACATTGGGCGGTTGTGCTTATCAAGGAACCCGTGTTGGAAACCTTCGAAGTCTGGATCTCCCTGCGTATCCACACGCTCTATGAGCTCGAAAGTGATGGTTTCGAAGGCGACACATGAGTTCGCATCAATATGAAATTGACTTTTTATATGATTGCTTTGTACGATTGCTGAATGCACTGCTTGAGGTTATAATACCGAGCCTCCGCTGCTTACCTCTGAATCGCGCGAAGAACATACAACCCTCCCGTCTTCACGAAGCTTACTTTGTCTCCATACTGGCCAATTCCTGAGGGTCCCTGTCTGACATTCTCGCTACTGTTTCTCATTTCCGGTGAGAGACGTGCGCAGGTAGCGACCAGATCCTGCACCACACGATGTGGTCTCCACATCAGCACACATGTGATAGTCGAGGGACGAAGTGTGCCTTCGCCATCGTTGCCGGTGCGCGTGGTAAGGGAAGGACAGCTATGAACTTCAACATGCCTGCTTGTGATGTCACTAGCCGCATTTCTTCCGCCTCATATCGCAGCTCCACGGAATTCATTGTCGCATTTCGAGGTCTTGGTATGGAGTGCGCCGGCTCACGTATGCGTGATATGGGAGGTGCCGTATTGATACGTTGTCTAGATGCAATGGGCTACATGATATATTAGATGTCGCGGTCACCTCGTGCGATAGTAACATCCCCCTATCCGTTCTCTCGTCTTCCGCGTCCGTGTTGCTATCCATTGCCTGCTCATTTTAACAGTCATCTTCTGCATCTCGTCAGTCTCGCTAGTGCGCATCGCTAATCAAACGGCAGTGAATACTGGTACGTGCGATCTGCAGCTTCCGGCGTCTCTTAATCAGTGCGCATTCTTCGGCGAAACCCACAAGTGGCCGCACCGCGCCGCATAGGACGATACTGCAGCGCCAATGCGCCCCCAGAGCCCCCTTGATGAGCCACGTCGCGGGGGCAGGCGCGGACGCATGATCCAGATAAAACGGCGTAGAGGGCCCTCCTAATCCCGCACAATGTTAGTCCGAACACCGAGTTACTAGGGATGCAGCTCCGCAAATCAGGAATACGTGACGCACCATGTACGGTGTGTACCTCGCAGACAGCAGTGCGGGGTCAAGCCTGTCCATGGATTAACACGTGGTACATCGGGTCGGCGAGTAGCAGTTGGAGACAAGTGCGACACTGACCAGTTCGGACTGTCGGCCACGGCACGTAGATGGGTGAACTGGTCGAATGCATATTTTCCGGTGGTATATCCGTCTGTACATCGGGTGGTTAGTGCTTGCATAGTAGTCGAAGCGCGAACGCCTACGCCCGCTTGGTCCAATGCCCCCAAATGGGAGTCCATGCACTATGTTGTGTTCGGCTTGGATGTCAGTGAGCAGCGCGAGAGTGCGATAATGTTCGCACGCACCCAGTATTTGTGTAATTGTATCGTTGATGAGGACGGTGCCACTCTGGGTGTTGTCAATGACTGACAACATCATGGACGTTAGCGGCCTTTAAATCCACGAAGATTAGAGGAAAGACCTTTCGCCTTGAAAGACGCGTTGCTCGAGAAGATGTATATGCTCAACGGACGGTCCCTACACGATGTCAACGACTTAACGAAAGGCAGCGACTAGAGTAGACACACCCCTCATTGATAAACGCGATGGCCTCATCTACATCCTTCACGGGAATGACAGGTAAAATAGGCCCAAAGATCTCCCTGAGCCGGTGCGCGTTCGTCAGGACGAGTTCGCCGGTATCCACGCACATGCATACTCACTCGCTCATGAACGCATCATCGCGCGCAACGTCACGCAAGATTGTAGGTGCAACATAGCAGGCCTCTATGTCGACCTCGCCGCCAATGACGATGGTCGCACGCGAATCGTCCAGGAGACGCTTGACGCGCATTGTGTGGCGCGTGTTCACCATGCGCGCCATCAGCCCTGACTTACGGGGATTGACCGGATGCAACTCATAGTACCTGCGCCAGACGCGGCATCAGCATCTCCACTCACACGAGCGACAATGAGGTGGAGGTGCGCACGCTGCTTTGAGTGCAGAGATGAAGGCGTCTTGGGATGTGGCCGGGACGAGCACGTAATCCGGGGACAGGCACACCTGTGCATGTGAGGAGAGCGGATAGACGTAGACATTGTGACGGGCGTACCTGACCCCCGTTCAGGAGCTTCCCCCACATCAGCCTCTTCGCTGCCGTTTTCATGTCGCATTCGGGATCGATCACGCAAGGTGTCTTGCCTGTATCGCGCGTGTACAGATCAGGCCTAGCGCAAGTGGGGGAAGAGGTGCGTACCTCCGAGCTATAATGAACTGGAATATCAGCGCACTAGCCCATGCGAACAGACGGGAATAGAAGAAGTACCGCACCTCAAGCGTGACCGGAGTGAGATGCTTCGCTGCCGCAGCACAAATAATCCGACCGACGTGCCCATTGCCTCAGTCGCGAGTATCAGGAGTACATCCCTCCTCTGATAGATAATCTGTGAACACTCACCGGTGTAGAGAACTAGAGCAGTCGAGACAATCTGTTAATACCGATCGATCCTGAGTGCGATGATGACCCACTGTGATCAAACGGGAGCTCAAGAACCTGAACCGGATGGACTTGTGAGAACAGATGTAGTCATGTATTAAGTTGGACTGACTTTCGTCGTTTCATGAACACCGCCGTTAACTACACTGACTATTTCGGGGTCAAGATATTGAGGTAGAAGCTCAGTGATCAGCAAAGCAGTGGCTTCACAGAGTTCTGATGGCTTAAGCAGAACAGTGTTCCCGGCAGCGATTGCGGCCGCCTAGCGGTGAGCAATATTGTTGGTTTAGCAGGTCCAAATCAAAGATGGAATGTATCGTGACCACTTAGGGTCAGACTCAATGCGATGGAGCCGACTGCATAGTTGACCTACCAAAGGGCAAAAAATGAGGTAGACGGGGTAGTTGAATGGCCCAATAATGAGGACGGTCCCTTTTGGCTCCTTGCGTGTTCTTGGCGACATTGCGAACCACAGCCAGGAGAATGGTGCCTTTTCTGGAGACGCCCACTTCTCCACGTTGTCGTACGCATCTTTGAGCTCCGTAAGGGTACCAGTAAGCTCAACGCTACATAAAATCGGCAATATATCGCTTAGTCCGCGGAGAAGCCGTTTCAGCACAGACTTACAGCTCCGACTCCTCAGACGGCCGGCCAAGGTCGATACGGAAGGCCTGCGCAAAGCGTTCATGGTTATCTTCAAGGAGATAACATAGCTGCAGGAGCTGTTCCTTTCGAAACGCAAGCGACCTCGTCTTGCCAGATTTAAACGCGGTTCGAAGATCGCCGTGCATCTATAAGTGAAGGTCAATAGCATTCTTTCCTGGATACGGGTAGCCGCACCTTCATAATCTGCGCCAGGGGTGTATATTCCATGAGCCTATATTATAACGCAAAGTGGAACGCTACAGGTGGGCTGAGATGTATCGGATGAAGAGGGAGTAGGCGTAAGGCACGAGCCTTATGGGCGGTGGGAATCCCTGAATGACAGAAGCTCCACAAACCTTCGACCTACGTGCGCCGCAATTCGGTACCCAAGCATGCTGCCCACGACACGTCAATCATTTCGTCCATCTTCGCTATTGAGTGGAAGCTTTAGAGCAATGTTGAGCTTCGACATAAATGTACTCTCATGAGTGAACATTGAATTGTCACTCTCAACCAAAGTAGATAGTTTCGTAAGAAGTACCCACCTACCGATTGAGACCTGAGGACTGGAGCAACATCAAATTCGGCCGATGCCGCGACCGACATACGAACCGACGAGCAGGCGGCCAAATATACATAGTAATGCTGATACCAAACATGCGTGGTTACACGCGCTGTTGAATGCGTTTGTCTGAACTCTGTCAAACGCATAAGGAACATCCAGAGAGGCGCAAGCGAAAATACCAAATAATGACATGCGCTTGCCACAATCCCAAGTTCCAACACATGCGCACATGCGATGTTTGACACCTTATTTCTGCGCTCAAGCAGTTGAGCTGAAGCCCTTCATCGCATAAGTTTGAGCGAGACGCGATGCGTGTAATAGAAAGTGAATGGAAAGCGCCCATAGAGAAAGCGTCGTGAGAACGCGGGAAGAGTGAGTGATAGATCGTGAGCGCTGCCATCGCTGCGTCACGCGTGTGTTTTGATTTCCGATCTACGCTCGTCATAAGTGCTAGGCGTCGGTCGATCGTCTGTAGCTCACGACACTATGACCTCTATCTCGGACCAACGGCGACAGCTCGACCGCAACGACATGCGACTCGAATCCGGGATGCCCCTGTTGTCAATCTTGTCATGCGTTGCTCGGGCTTGCTGACAATACGGGTGCTCAGGAACTTTAGGGACGATCAGCAAGTCCAATGTCATGGAGCGGTATAATGAGAATTCGGTGATTGATCGCACAACGATCGCAGCAAAGGGAGGAACCACACAATATGTACTGACATCGTCGTACACGTATGGCAGCTTGCTCACCCAGGGCCTGGGATAGTTCTTTGAGCCCTGCTTTCGTTGAGACGCCCTAACATGTGCACAATATGGATGACATATGCTCGCACGCCTTTTGAAGATACTGACTGTTACACTAATTTACCAGCCGGCTGCTGTGGTGGTCTTTGGACAACGTAGCCATGTCGCCTGGTCAGCAGAGATGGATATTGATATGCCATATCTACTGTCACCGACGTACTGCACGGCTCATCGTCAGTTTCTCATACGACCCGCAAACTCAAAGATATGTGAGACATACAACAGAAGCCCTCGCTTGTGCAATCGTGGAAAGCGCGCTTGCATGACCGTCGACCACTGCGTCTCGCCTATGGACAGAGAACCGCTGTTCTCTTGACGGTATCTGTACTCGACAACGACGCGCTCAAGCGTCGCATATTGCGGAAGCAGCAGCACATCTTCGATCTGGCTGCAGCGGTGCTTGCTCAGATGACGAGCGGGGTCCGAATCGACCCACCTGTACGAATCCATCGGCAGGCGCTCCGTCAGACTGGCCACTTTGATCGTCCTCTCTTCTTGTAGACTGCAAACACTTATCGTGTTAATCCGCAAAAGGATGGGAGCTACTCACTGCCAGCTGTCCTCGTGTGTATCCAAGACGATTGTCACATCGCGAACGACTTCCGACTTGATGTGGGACAACAGGCGCGCCATCCAATACTTGCCCGAGCCCTGCACATTCATGACAGATTGGGCCAACCAGATAGTCAGCGTCGTGAGGTGGCGACTGCCTGTGAGTACTATATCGTCTTGCGTTCATATTAAGGGTTTGTTGTATTCTCATGGGTATGAAGCCACGTACCGATGGTGCGTTCATGCGGTTGATGCGGGCCAGCCACATTGAACGTCAACGAGCGCAGGGATTCGCGAGTGCCGGCGAGGAAAGGTGCAATCAAAGGTGTCTCTGGATCATCGAGAAAGCTCCAGTCCAGCGAGATATCCTCTAAGCCGGTGTTCCATCCGCAAATTGTCATGAACTGCATGATGTCCGAGTGAGCAGCAAACTTGTAGCCAAACTGCTGCAGCTTGAGCGACCTGCTTCTGAACACCGCATATCTAGGAGGGACTATACCCGGTTGGCCAGGAGTTTCCTCTCCGACGTCGAGTCCAGCAGTCACAGTGCACCGATGGCACTTGACGGAAACAAGGTTGGGTAGTGCACAGACAATTCGACCGAAAACGGAGACGTTAGGGAGGTGAAGCTCGACAAGGGAGAGATGGGTGATGGAAGAGAATGCAGAAAGGTGGATGAAGAAGTCTTGGTGCATCATCCCGGCGGGCCAATCTCCCTTTAGATACAGCCTCATCAGGTTCGCGAAACGTCCAGCGAGGGCCGGCACGAAAGTCCCCAGGTGGCTGATGGTGTCCCTCTTGCCAAACAGCGAGTTCTTGACCGTGACCTCGATGTCTGTCACCCTGAGGCTGTCGCTAGTACGCATACAGCTCCGTATCTCACGCGATAGCGTCACCACGTCGTCGCGACGCAAGAGGCGCACTCTCCTGGCAAGATGGGACTGGCTCCTTGCGCGCCATCTTCTGCACACCAGGGAACAGGCCGCTAGATCATCCCAGAGGCCCCAATATCGTAAATAGTCGATGACGTGGTCCCAAGTCTCGACCGGTAAGGGTGGTGGTGGGACTCGGAAGCTCTGTGACAACGGAAGGGGCCTCTGCGACATGTATCTGATGCTTGCATTCGAGACGTCCGACATCTAGCGTATATATCAATCAAGAGGTGTCCTCGAAGCAGGTCATCAGGACACATACTTGGCAAGAGTTAGGATGCTGAGCACGAATGGTGAGGATAAGCCTTAGAGACAATGTATGTACGAAGGGAGCCGAAGTAACATATAGCAAAATCAGTATTAATTGACCTCCCCTCGCAAAGTGGACATTGGGGCAAGGTGGGGCAGAACCTCGCGGCAGCGGTCGGCAGCGGTGCAGCGACGGCGACCGGCGACTGATCAGAGACGGGCTATTCTGAGTGAGGATCGTGAGGGAAGTAGACGCTTGCCCTGGAGGGTATGGGTTATAAACGGAGGAATGCCGGGAGACAATACATAATTAGATCGCATCACGAACTTGAACGCCGTGTTGTCCTTGTCGATTTGCAAATGTTACGAGCCGGCAAGCAACTGTAATAGCGAGCATCATTGGATACGCAAGCTCGGATGTTAAACACGCTATCACTGCAATCAAGCGGTTGTGTTGAAGCCCTTCATCGCATGCGTCTGAACAAGCCGCAATGCATATCGGGATAGACACAGAACCGGAGGCGCCCATAGGGAGAACACGCCAGGAAGAAGCGGGAGGAATGAGCAGTTGATCAGAATGTTGATGCCATGTGACGGTGCCGCACTTTTGCTTTCCCAGGCACCCGACGCCACACGCCTGGTTCAGGGGCACTTCGGTCGAACCACTGGAGCTCATGAAGACACCACCTCTATCCTCAGGCAACGGTAACAGTGGCAGTTCAAAACGTTTCACTGCCGGCTTAGATTTGGAATCCCCATCAATGCGCACTTGTTCCTTTGAGATTCAAAGAACCACTGCAGAAACATGCTGCGCTTAATTCCGCCTTCCTAGGGACCGGTGCGCAGTGATAACCGTTTGGCGTGCTCTCAGTGTTCCTTGGGAAACTACTCGTGTATGTACGCGTGATCCCCTTGGGTGCCAAACTCTCGTCAGGCTGATCCATAAAGTGCCCAGAGTCACCAGTGCTCGAGGTCGAAACTTATTTGGAAGTACGAGCCCTCAAATCATGGCAATGAATAGGGCGCAATACAATTGAAGAGAGCTCTCCGGCCAAAGCTCGCGCCAAGGACACTCCATGTCCTAGAAGTGCTCCCACGGCGCAAGGTCCGGAAGACGGTATTCAAGCTTATCGCTCCGATCACACTAATGCCCAGGGTCGTCTCGACGGATCACACGTCTATCATTGTCAAACCCTAAGAGCGTCTCGAACGTGGGCTCGCCGCCTCGAGGATGCCCGCGAGGCATGCATCCTCGCACGTCTCCCGCAGACGAGTCTGGAGCGATCACCGGTTGCCCATTGCCTGCCCGCGGCGGGTGATCACACCGTCACCCGAGAATGGGAACCCAGCTAGAATCCAGCTCGGAGGAACACCCATTTCACCGGGCGGGGGTCCTGCTCCTTTCGTTTAGTCTCTAGCACCGCTGATCATGGCATGGAGTGGGAATAGCTCTATCCTGGCCTTCGCTGATCTGTCCTCCCCTTCCTCATGGGAGATGCATGGCTTCGCATGGGTATCGCAGGTCTGCACTCAAGACGCGCCCACAGTCGCGGGCGCGTGGGGGCGCGGCGAAGCCACCTGGCAGCCTTTCCGGGCTCTTAGCGTGTTACGGAAGGCAGCTTTGCGGGGGTGCTTCTCCGGCGCTCCCGTGGACCACTGACCAGCCCAGCCCATCTGAATCCCATCCCTCGGATGTAGATCCGGGCGCAGATGCGGTAAGCCTGATCGGTGCGCGAGCTTCCTTTATGCTGGGATGCGCGGCGGACTTCCACGTCCAGATCACGCCCTGCGGAAGTCAGCGCTTCAGCGCCCACGGAGGCAGGTCAGTTCCTGTCGGCAGTGCCTCCGATGCGGTTTACGGTTAAGCATGGGAGAGAGTGCTGTCAGCCGCGCTGCGCAGCCTGGTTCTTGCTTATGCGCGGTTCTCGACGCGGAGATCTGCACGTCGAACGCGCTCACACACATCCCCGCTGGCAGGTCCTCAGGCCGTTTGGGGACTTGCCAGCCCTCCGCGTTGGGAGGCTTCTGAGCACGGATGGAAGTTGGAACTAGGCCGAGAGCCAAGGCCCGACTGGTCGCCATGTATGTATGCACGAGGACACCATGCGTGCCGCGACGCCCCTCCGGGAAGGCGCCGGTAGGCTCGGAAGCTTCTCTCGGACAGGATGGAAGGTCCGGGGTAGCAGATCGGGGTCGGTCGTCCTCGCGACGGATGCAGTATGAGGGTGGGGGCGTGCTCCTGCGCATGCGAGTGCACATGCCACAACCCGCCCCTCCGAATGCGCGCGACTGCCAATGTCATGCGCAGGCTCCTCCGACGCGTGCAGGATGCGCGTCCCACGCCCGCAGTACGTGCCTCTCAAATCGCCTTCGCACGTCAGACAGGGATACCCGGAGCCGGCGCACGCCGGCGGAATCGTCTACTCTGCTCTCAGGAGACTGCTTCGCACGCGACTGTGTGCTAGTGCTGTGTGCCACCGCGCGCCGGTCTACCTTCTGGCAGGCCTCTCTCGCTGCAGCCGTCCAGTCCTCCTCGGCGGCCTGTCCACAGGGGCCTGCAGAGACGTGCGCACGCCGGGGCCCACTCTTTCTGCGTCCCGAGGAACCAGAGGCTCCGATAGACCCGTCCGATTAGCTCACAGCCAGGCTGGGCCCTGGTCTCCTAACAGCAAAGTCGGCAAAGTAAGTGGACGACAGGCACCCGCCGACCGCCGCCCTGTATACCTGTATCCTGTTCCCCCGCGCACACATCTGTCATCCGACATGCACCAGCATAGACGTCGAGCGGATGCATGATGCATCCCGGCTCGAGGCACGGCGGGCCAGGCACACAGGCACGACGCCCGCGAAGCCGAGGCACGCGCGGATTCATATCCGCCTTGGTGTTGGTGTTGCCGTTGTCGTAGGTGTTGGTGTTGGTGTTGTCGTAGGTGCTGGTGCTGGTGCTGGCGTTGGTGCTGGGCCCTGGCGTTGGCATCCGCATCCCCCGCGCGCCTCCCTGCGCCTTCCAGTGCCTTCGCCTGCGCATCCAGACTCCCCGCGTCCCAATCCGTCCCTCCGGCACCCCCGCGTGCGCCCGACGAAGCACGCTCCGCGGCGGGCGGGGTGCCGTGGAGGCGGCCATCGATCGCGCGCGCGCGAGCCTGGTGTGTCGCTGCGCCTCGCTCCCGCGCGGGCTTATCTGGCAATGGCGTGCAGCGAAATCAGTACTATACAGTGAAGCCTCGCGCCCCGGACCAAGTGGTGCCTGGCCTCATCAATGAAGCACTGGCACTGTATTGAGAATCCGAAGGAGCGCCCAGGCCGCGTGTGCGACATGACATTAACATTAACATTAAGCATGTGGGATCGCGCCCGCCCGACTTTCTGCCCTCGCCGTCTAATATCTGATATCCGAGTTCGAATGCGATCGCAGCCTTCTGGATTGGAAGGAGGGAAAGAAGGCGCACTGGGGCGCGCGTGATGCCAGTCCCTAGTCAGTATCCAAATATTCAATCGTCGAGCAGGGCCCGAGCCCGATTCAGGGATTCCAGGAAACCGGTATCGATATCGCAGCACGCCGAATCTCGATCGCGCGGGGCCGGGCGCGTTCGCAGCATCGCGACGTCGCGCGCTGGTGCGTGAGTGTGTGTTTTGCGAGGCGAGAGAGGTCCATTGCGGTATGTACATAATACACGGCGGTACAAATACAGCGGACGGCGGGCATGGGGCATGGACATGGATATAGGTATAGGTGCGCGGCGGTGCGCGCGCGGTGCGGTGGCCATTACCCGTGCAGACTGTAGCGTAGGAGTGTCCCGAGGTGAGATACGGATGTGTGGTGTGCGTGCATGTGCGGCGCGCAGTGTGCGATGTCCAGCACTGTGTGCTGTGCAGTGAGCGGTGGGCGACGTGCGATGTGCGGCGGTGTGCCGCTGTCCGCGCGCGCATGTGCTTTGTGATGCGTTTTCTCTTCTGCTGGAGGCCGGCCGGGGTATCATGTCGTGTCGTGCAGCAAAGCCCGGCGTGCGCACTGCGCAAGGGCGGGACGGGCGCCCTGCGCTGGTCAATGTCCTCCGCGCTCACGCGCAGTCTCCCCGTGCGCCCTCTTTACTCTCTCCTCATCGCCACCCCCTTCGCCCGGCCCTCCTCTGCCACCGCTGCGCGCACACGCCTAGCGCGGGGTGGTCGCGGCGCGGCGCATGGGCGGGCGGAGGTCCGCGCCGGCGTTGCGGTAGCGCTTCTCCCAGTCCTGGAGCGCCCTGCGGTGGAAAGGGAGAGTCAGCACGCGGCGCAAGAGAGGAAGGGCAGGGCGGGCACGCACTTGACAAAGGCGGAGTTGGGCTTGGCGCAGGGGCGCTTCTTGCGGACGAGGTCGAAGGCGGAGTCGTAGGACATGTTCTGGGTGTAGATGAGGTACGCGATGACGATCGCCGCGGAGCGGGACACGCCCTGCGCGCAAAGAAAGGGTCAGCCAAGGAGCGCGGAAGGAGAGAGGGGGAGCGCGGACCTGCTGGCAGTGGACGAGGACGTTGACGCCGCGCCTGAGGCGGTCGTCGATCCAGCGGACGGCGTCCTCGAGGTGGGGGCGGATGTCGACGCTGGTGGAGTCGAGGATGTTGAGGCGGTAGGCGTCGAGGGGGTGGTCTGCGGGGTCGGGGAGCCAGGGGGCGTCGAGGACCTGGACGAGGGCGGCGATGCGGTGGGCGTCGAGGAGGGGCTGGTCGAGGGCGGCGATGAAGGAGCCGATGTAGAGGGCGCCGGTGCGGGCGTGGGGCGAGGCGGGGAGGACGAGGTGCATGGGCGTGCACATGGCCTGCATGACCTCGGGCGGGAGCGTGTCGAAGCGGATCATTGCGGGGCGAGTGGTACGCTGTGTGTGAGTTGTGTGTGCGTGTGTATGGGTGGGGAGCTCTCTGTGCAGACGACGGGGAGCGGGGGGGGGGGTTATAAGGGAAAGAGGGACGGATGCTCGGATATGCGGCGTGGAGAGCGGGCGCCTGTTGTGCGCATATCCGGGACTCTAGATCGCATTGGTCGGGGACGCCTGATCGGACGGACGCGATCGCACGGCCTAGATCCCTGTGACCCGACATTCTCGCGGCCGCTTCTTGGAGGCAGCCATGCATGGCTGCCTCATTCTCAAATCCTGCCCATCCGCTCTCTCGCGTCCGTCCCTTCCACTATGCCCTCCGCCTTTGCACTGCGGCTGCTCCCACTCCGCATTCAACCTCACGCCACGTATTCCCTGTCTGGCCCACCCCTGTCCCGCACCCATGCTCCAGCACGTCTCCCCCATGACGCCCTTCCCATCCATGCCCCGGACATCCCGCGACGCCGTCCGCGACCGACTGCATGTCCTCGCCAGGACTCAAATCGACCCGCCGCCTGCGCTAGTCTCGATCGCGACGGCCCCAGCTCCACGGTGCCGCGTCTGCGCGGCCTGTCTCCGCGCGCCGCACCCTCGCATCACTGTGGCCACCGCACCTGCACAGGCGCGATGACGTCTCCGGGGTAAGATGCGCACCCACCGGTCTCTATCCGCTCTCTCGTCCCGTCCAGTCGCCCGGCAACCCACCCGTCGATCATCCGTGGCGTTCCAGCCCGCCCTTCGCCCAAGCGCAACAGACTCTGCCCATCTCCACGCCCGCCCCCGCGCCCGGCAACCCTGCCAGCCAGGAGGGGCACGCCTTACCCCGCGTTTCCACCGTTGACATCACCGGGGCTCGATCCACTATTCCCCCCGGGTTCCGCTGCCGAAGCTCGAAGCTCGAAGCTCGAAGCCCCAACCCGCGGAGCCGCCCAATCGCCCAGGCATACTGCACCCGAGGGGCATACGCATAATGCACCCGAGGGCCGACCACCCCGGAGCACGCAGCACAGCGTCCCCCGCGCCGCTCGGGACAAACACAAACGCAAACACAAACAGACGCAGACCTGCAGCAGAGGCTCCAGGCCGGCGTCGCCCCGTCCCATCGTATTGCCCCCGCGCGGTGCCAGTTGCTGGGCAGCACGACTTGCGTCACAGCCACCGGCCTCTATCCGCTGGTCCGCGTTCCCGCTCGCCCGGTCGATCATCCGTCTCGTTCCTGCCCGCCGTCATCGTCGCGCGGCCCCGTCATGTCCACGCGCTGCGCCTGCACCGCATGCCGTATGCCTGCCCGGGCCTGTGCGGACAGTCCTCGCGCCTGTCCGCGGCACAGCGCCGGGCTCGACCACGCTGTGTCCATAACCGCTGGGCCCGATCACGCTGCATCCATACTCGCCATGCCCCTGCCCAGCGCTCCGCCCCCGACGCTCGCACGTGGAACACGCCAGCCTTCTGCACCGCTGGGCTGGAGGCTGCAGCACCTCGTCCTCGCGCGCGCAAGGGCCCCACCCCCGCCCTCCTCGCGCGTCCATCCCACCGCCCGCCCCCGGTGCAGGCGCCCAACGTGCAGCGCGGCCGGCTGACTCGCGGGCGCCGCGGCCGCGGCCTGGACGCAGGGCGCACCACGCAGCAGCACTTGGCCTTGGCCTGGCGGCGCATCCGCATCGCATCTCTCCACGCGCGGCGCCCAGACCTCGGCGCAGGGCGCAGGGCGCGCATCTCCCGCTCCGCTGCGCGCCCCCCTCCTCTTGCGCCCCGGGCCGCTCGCGACGCCATCAAGCGCGCCGTTGATCTCGAAGCCTGGCCGGCCACACTTCCGTGCTCTCCGCAGTGTCTGTCTCTGCGTCCTTGCGTCTGCGTCTCTGCGGTGCGCTGTGGCGGGAGCGCCGCCGGCGGCTTGCGGCCGGCAGCGCCACGTCCGCTGCGCCTGCGTCGAGCCAATGATTCGGGTGAGATCTGCCTCCCCCCACCGCACGGGATACGGATAGGCCCCGTCGTCGCCTGGCTGCCCAGCCGCCCGCCGCCCGCCCACCGCCGCTCGAGACCCGCACGTGTGCGCATGTCAATCTGCCTTTCACGGGGCGACCTGAGCGGTGCGATGCATCCGCGCTTGGAGGGGCGCCGAGCCTCGTGCGCGCGCGGGCGTGCTGGAACGTGAGCTCGAGGCCGTCTGCGACCGCGGTGGCGCGTCCCGCACCATGCAGAGGCCGCTCGAGCTGGACGGCGAAAATGCTCTATGAAGGCATCACACGAACACTCTTCGCTGCTACACCGCGCAGCCCCGACGTCGAGCGAATAGCGCGGGGCAGCCTAGTTGGCCATGATGGGACACGCCGCGCTTCAGACGAAGGCCCCGTGGCCTCGCCGAAACGCTGTCCATAGCCCACGGAAGCGCTTATACTACACACGGCCATCGTCGCCCGCTTTCGTTCATGCTGTAAAGGGCGCACGAGGACATTCCACGCCCGCACTCTCCACGCGTCCGACATGCGCGTCTTCGCCGTCATCACTGCGCTCTCCGCGCTTTCCGCGCTTTCTACGCTCTCCGCGCCCGCGGCGCGCGCACAGTCCACCGTCGTCGTCACCTCCAATGCGCGATACGACGACGCGGCGGTGCCGCTCGCGTCCGTGGCGTGCTACGGGGCCGCTGGCTCTGGGATCAGCACCGAGCCCGTCGAGACGTTCGGCGCGCTCCCCGCATTCCCGTTCATCGGCGGCGCGGCGCTTGCTGCCGGGTGGGCCGCGGCCGCGTGCGGGACGTGCTGGGAGCTCGCGTACGCGCGGTACACCGTCGCCGTGCTCGTGATTGACCATGCGAGCGCGGGGCTCAACATCTCGGTGGAGGCGTTCGACCAGCTGCACGGCGGCACGGCGGCACGGCGGCACGGCGGCACGGCGGCACGGCGGCACGGCGGCACGGCGGCACGGCGGCACGGCGGAGCACTTCCCCAGCCTCAACGCCACCGCGACGCAGGTCGACGCCGCGCGGTGCGGTGGTGCGTCCGGTGCTGCTTAGCCTGCGCGCGTACGTACATCCTTGGCGTATCATCGCATTTCCGACGCGGACTTGTGCGACGCGCATGGCTCAGGCAGGCGGGGCGGCTCGGCGTGCCCGTGGGATGTGTGTGGACATTAGGATCGACGCCCCTTTGGAACGGACTGTTGACCGGATTCTTGGGTTCTTGGAGACACCCGCTGTAGCCTGTCAGAGTCACGGGCTTCTCCAATATATGCGACCATAGCCTGCGCAGCAGACTTGCCTTGTTTTGGGACGTATATATCCCACACGCCCGCCGGGATCCATTTCTGTAGAGGTCCGATCGACGATCTCGAATAGAGTGCATTACTGATCGTCCCTGTATTGTCACCGAACCCGAGCAACGCACCCACTACGACAAGGCCGACAGCAGGGGCTGCCTAGATCCGAGTCGAATGTCGTTGCAGCGGAGCTGCCACCGTTGCTCGGGGATAAGTAGAGGTGGTGCCTTCGCGGGCTCAAGTTGTTCGACTGAAGTCCTGTGGCGTCGGGTGTTGCAACGTCGATGGGTGCCTGAGAGTATCAATGCTCGGCATCGTGATGGCATCAACGTTCTGATCAACCGCTCATTTCTAAGTCTTCCCAGCGCATTTTCCCTATGGGCGCCTGCAATTCTTTGTCTATCTGATGCATTGCGGCTTGCTTAGACGTATGGGACGAAGGGCTTCAATGCATTTACTTGAGGGCAGTGACAGCGTGGCTAACATCGCTCGCGCATCCATGGATGCTCGCCATTACAGTTGCTTGTCGGCTCGTAACATTTGCAAATCGACAAGAGCAACACGGCGTTCGTGATGCGATCTAATCATGTATCGTGGCTGCATTCCTTCTTCTATAATACACACCCTCCAAAGCAGTTCGACCCTCTTCGTACGTACGTTGTGTCCTCACCATTCGTGCACAGCATTCTGACTCTTGCCAAGTATGTGTCCTGATAACCTGTGTCATGAGCATCTCTTGATTGATATTGATATTCCAAGATGACGGACGTCTTGAATGCAAGCATCAGATACATGCCGCAGAGGCCACTTCCGTTGTCACAGAGCTTGCGAGTCTCACCACCACCCTTACCGGTCGAGACTTGGGACCACGTCATCGACTATTTACGATATTGGGGCCTTTGGGATGATCTAGCGGCCTGCTCCCTGGTGTGCAGACGATGGCGCGCAAGGAGCCAGTCCCACCTTGCCAGGAGAGTGCGCCTCTTGCGTCGCGGCGACGTAGTGACACTGTCGCGTGAAATACGGAGCGGAATCCGTACTAGCGACACTCTCAAGGTGACCGACATCGAGGTCACGGTCAAGAACTCGCTGTTTGGCAAGAGGGACACCATCAGCCACCTGGGGACCTTCGTGCCGGCCCTCGCTGGACGTTTCGCGAACCTGATGAGGCTGTATCTAAAGGGAGATTGGCCCGCCGGGATGATGCACCAAGACTTCTTCATCCACCTTTCTGCATTCTCTTCCATCACCCATCTCTCCCTTGTCGAGCTTCACCTCCCTAATGTCTCCGTTTTCGGTCGAATGGTTTGTGCACTACCGAACCTTGTTTCCATCAAGTGCCATCGGTGCACTGTGACTGCTGGACTCGACGTCGGAGAGGAAACTCCTGGCCAACCGGGTATAGTCCCTCCTAGATATGCGGTATTCAGAAGCAGGTCGCTCAAGCTGCAGCAGTTTGGCTACAAGTTTGCTGCTCACTCGGACATCATGCAGTTCATGACAATTTGCGGATGGAACACCGGCTTAGAGGATATCTCGCTGGACTGGAGCTTTCTCGATGATCCAGAGACACCTTTGATTGCACCTTTCCTCGCCGGCGCTCGCGAATCCCTGCGCTCCTTGACGTTCGCTGTCGCTGGACCGCATCAACCTCATGATCGCACCATCGGTACGTGGCTTCATACCCATGAGAATGCAACAAACCCTTTACCTCAATGTAAGACGACATAGTGCTCACAGGCAGTCGCCGCCTCACGACGCTGACTATCTGGTTGGCCCAATCTGTCATGCGTGTGCAGGGCTCGGGCGAGTATTGGATGGCTCGTCTGCTGTCTCACATCAAGTCGGAGGTCATTCGCGATGTGACAATCGTCTTGGATACACACGAGGACAGCTGGCAGTGAGTAGTTCCCATTCTGTTGTAAATTGATACGATAAACGTTTGCAGACAAGAAGACAGGACGACGAGAGTTGCCAGTCTGACCGAGCGCCTGCCGATGAGTTTGTACAGGTGGGTCGATTCGGACCCCGCTCGTCATCTGAGCAAGCACCGCTGCAGCCAGATCGAAGATGTGCTACTACTTCCGCAATATGCGACGCTTGAGCGCGTCGTTGTCGAGTACAGATACCGTCAAGAGAACAGCGGTTCTCTGTCCATAGGCGAGACGCAGTGGTCGACGGTCATGCAAGCCCGCTTTCCACGATTGTACAAGCAAGGGCTTCTGTTGTATGTCTCACAAGTCTTTGGCATTGCGGAGTACACGAGAAAATGACGCTGGGCCGTGCAGTACGTCGGCGACAGTGGATATGGCATATCAATATCCATCTCTGCTGACCAGGCGACATGGCTACGTTGTCCAAAGACCACCACAGCAGCCGGCTGGTAAATCTGTGTAACAGTCAGTATCTTCAAAAGGCGTGCGAGCATATGTCAGCAATATTGTGCACGTGTTAGTGCGTCCCCCTGAAAGTAGGGCTCAATATATGCCCAGACTCTCCACTATCCCAGGTCCTGTCGCGATGCCTGTGCGACGAAGTGAAGACATCGCGTGATTTTATCCTGCTGCGGGTGTGATCGTTATTGCAACCAATCACCGAATTGTCATGGCATCCGATATCCGCATTTGGATTCGAGACGCCAGTGATCGCTTGGCTGTGCGCCACAGCCTTGGCTTCGTTCTATATAATTGTCAGCTCCACATTGATTCTATTAGTATAGGACTCAAAGCAACAGTACTTCGACTTCTTGTTGTGAGCACAGGTCTAATCTTCTGCGCTGATAGCTTACGATCGTTCGTAACAGAGCGTTTGGTGTGCCATTAACAAGGCCTCATGACCGCCCTGCCAGTCGAAGTGTGGGAGGAAGTCTTCGACTGCTTGTACGATTGGGTGGATTACGAGAGCTTGCAGAATTGCTCGGCAGTCTGCAAACAGTGGCGCCAAAGATGTCTCCTTCATCTGCAGATTACTACGTTGGTGCTTTCTGATCGGGAGCAAGTCGCTCGAGTAGCGAAGGCCACACGCGCAGGCTACTACCCGGCAGGCAGCATACAAGAAGTCGTAATCGGCTCTCGCACATGGCAGCCGATCCCTCACCTCAATTCCTTCGTCGCCATGTTTGCAAATAGATCCTTCAACGTGAAGCAGATCGCCATCCAGTACGCGCTCTGGCGTGCCGGCGACGTCCGTCCAGACGTCTTTCTCCACCTCTCTGCGTTCACTTCTGTCGTCCGTCTCTCCCTCGGGGAAGTCGCATTCCCTGATTTCGCCACTCTGCGGCATCTCATATACGCGCTGCCTAGTCTGCAAGGTCTCGGGTGCTGGGGCGTGACATTCTCCAACACTAAGTCAGGGCCTCTACTCTCGTCTGCATGTTCTCCCGCATATTCGAGGCTCAAATTGACGAAGCTGAGGCTCTGCGGCGGCACACAGGAGATCGAGGCGCTTGCTCACTTCTTCGTCGATTCGGGCATCAGTGCGCTTGTGCACGACCTGCTGGTGACATACCGGCTGGGACGCCCGGCAACAGACGTTCCCGCCCTTTCTGTGCCGAATATGCAGCGAATGCTTCAGTCTTCTGGGACGTCTCTGCGCACAGTGCACATCGACGTCGTCAAGCTCCATCGAAGGGGCGGTGCGGCAAATCCAGGTGAGCTCACGATACACATGATCATGACGAATCCAGAAGTTATACAGAACAACAGATGCCTTTCCAGTATTGTTCCACAATGGAAAGCTTGAATCGATCAAATTGCGCTTTGACCACATTCCGGGTGGCGGTCCCATGTGGTACTGTTCTATGCTGGCCGGCATCAGTTCCCCGAGAGTTACGAGATTACACCTGGTATATTCACCTCAACTGCTGGACTCCCTGAAAGAGGACCCACACACTGTACTCGCTCAGACGCTGAAAGAAGATCATTGCGCTCAACTGGAAGGGATCTTAAATACCAAATTGTTCGCGCGACTCCACGATGTCGTGCTGGAGCTGCGGTGCTCTCCTCAATACACGCAGATAGACGAGGCTTCTTGGTCAAAGACGCTGAATCGCTGGCTTCCTGGGCTCCATGGTCGAGGCATCCTACGGTATATATACATTTTCACACGCCGTAAATGGGTGCTGACGTGTCGCATATTTTAGCACGCCTGTAGTCGTAGATTTCACCTCCAAGCAACGACTGCAGAGAGGGAAGAAGACAGTTCGTGGACCAGCGACGGATGAGGAAATCGACCGATCAGGTCATCATTTCAATCAAGCCTAGTCGGAAGCCAACCACATGGTGATTCTTGGTACGGAGACTGATGCTACTTTACCATTCACACGAATCATATAGGCCAGTTGCGAAAGCAAGCCCTTAGACATCTCCCAAATGGCAGTACATGATAGATAGCACGCGGAACTGTTTCCCGCCCGCGCCACGAGAAGCATGAGCATGAAAGGCGTACCTCCGTCGCAGCCTCTCCCGTCTTCAATTGTAGCACCTCTCAAAATCGCCATCCCCACTCCTCCGCGCGTATCCCTGGCTTTCCACGAAGTCCTCCAAGCGACACAGCCCGTCCCCTTGCGCCCCGCAGAACTCCAGCGGCTGCAACGCGTCATTGACGAAGATTCTAACATAGGTCCCATCCGGCGTCTTCCCATCTGATCCTTCGATCAGCGTCCTACCAGTGCCGGCACCACACTCCAGCCGCTCCGTCACCATTCTCGCCGAGAATGGTACCATCCGGTTCGCAACCCACACGCGTTCCGCATCGTCCTTCGTATGCGGCCCTCGCTTCGGGTCCGGCACCTCGCCCCGCCCGCGGCGTACATCGAACAGCCCTATCGTTGCATACACCGCCACCATCGCGTTCTCATGCGAGAAGTCCGCGTAGAGTGCGTGCCCGAGCGGGAACGGCAGCGACGCGTTGTACGTTGTGTTGTCGCGCACAGGCGTGTTAGTCAGCCGCGCGAGCAGCTCGTTTGTATACCCGACGCCCTGCACAGGTCCGAGCGAGTTTCCGGGCCTGTAAATGGCACGCAGCGCACATGATCAGCGATGCAGACTACAAGGTACAGTTGTAGGAGATCCCACCCAGTCTTGTAATACTTCTCGACATCTCCATGGAACTCGAATGCTCGCCATTCATCCTTGGTGAACAGGTCACAGAACGGGCTCCTCGCTTTCTGCTTGGCGAGCAAGCGACTCCTCTCGTAGATGCCACTCTCTTCCAAACCATCCACTCGTGCGTTGGTCATGCTCTCAAACGGGCACATCGCCATCAGGCTGAATACGTCCTCCTCGCTGAGGTTCACGCCCGGCGCTGCCTTCGTCAGACGTTTAATGATCGGCGGCACAAACTGATGCAGCCACGTATTCATCTCTTCCGTACCACCGCCCGCGTTCGGGCAGTCATTGTTCAGTGTGCTGTTCGCCTGCGCTACATTAGATTCCACTCGACGACTGCACGCGATTATCCAGACACGCACCTGCTCCGAAAGACGCACGTCGATCTTCGGATGTATGTGCCCCTGGCTCGCATGCGCAAAGCCTGTCGACAATAGTGTCAGCTGCCAAGACACACTTTGGAGACAGCACCTACCAGTCGACCAGTTCCCCGCGCTGTCCACCACGCGCGGCATGTCCGACGCCCTAATGAAGATCGATTCATCTCCCGCGTTGCCGAGTAGCGCCGCATAACGCGCCCATGCCTCCGCGCCAGATGCCCAGCTCTGCGTGGCGCCGAGCGGGATGAGGTCGTCCTGACCGAGCGCGTACTCGTAGTCGTTCATGAATTTGAGGTGTGAATGGTACTTGCGTGCGCGCGCGAGCTGATGTACGGCGTGCCTGTATGCCGACGCATTATCATCTGGGAAGCGTGCGCCGTGACGTTGGAGCTGAAGCGCCATGAGACGGTCAGGACGGATGAATACAATGGGTGATTCTTGTACGTACGATGTTGACCTGTCAAATAAGAATGCAATATTAGTGCTTTGCGATAATTGCGTGGCTAAAGACATGAGCTCGCCTGTGTGATGTTGCATTCTATGGGAGGAGACACGTACTTCCCGGCACGATGAAACGGAGAGTACTGTCCCCAAAGACGTTGTATTTTCTTGGGTACGTCGATCCCATGTTTAGACTCAGCCTCCTTTGCAGCGTTGGTCGGGTGATTGTAAGCTTCTTTCGGTCGTAAGTGAGAGGCAAGCATGCATACTAGCCGGATCAATATCCAGGCTAGAATGACACGCTGAACAAGGCGCCTGAACCTCTGCCATAGAGTAATACGATGTTTCTCAACACGCTCCCCCGAAGTCGAACGCGGGTCGACAGCGGGCAGAATGGTGTCATGTTGTATGTCGTAGGACTTTTCGTCGGGTATAGACATGAGAACAAAACCGACGGAGCAGAGGAGAGAAGATACTGGTTATGGGATATAATATATCTAGTGTATATAGGGCGAGGCAAATGCAATGCATCTCGTGATGTCACCGCCCATGGAGTCATAGGAGGCGCGCTTTTCAGGAAACAGTCCAACGCATCCGATCATCAAATCGGGTATAGCCGACGCCCAACCGAGCGCTCAGTGGCACTGAACATACGTATTAAGTACGACGTTCGCGTTTGAGTACTATCACTATGTACACACCAGAAAATACTAGATCTGCGCTATCAACTCAACATTGAAGGCTCGCAGCTTCCGACGCTCACACCACAGCAGTAAGGCTGCAAGGTTATATTCCATGATGCCGTCAGGTTAGGAAGCATCATGAGAAGCAATGGCCTACTGCCGTTCCCAAGTTATGCTTTGACAAGTATTGCGTCATGTCAAGGTCAGCAGACAGCGCAGCCGCAGCGGGTTAGTACACGCTCAGGTATCTCCGTACGCGTAGATAACCAAGAACCAGAGCGGTCAACAAGAAGCTGCTAACAGTGGTCCCACGCACCACACGCATTTGAAAAGGACTCACCAAGTCGAGATGGTTCGTATGTAACGATATCCGTAGGCACTTCCAAGTGACGTCAATCTTCCAGCGCTGAGGGTCATCACTGCTAAACGTATGAACCTCACCGAGTCGAATCCGACTGCAAATGAAACAGCGGTGTACGTAAGACGGGAGAATAGGGCCCAAAACTTAAGAGGACTATAGACACAGGAGGCAAGGAAGCTAACAAGTAGATGGCAGTAGAGTTATGACGGTGGCCGGCGTAGCTCGTAGTGGGAAGCAAGTTACCATGGGCGAGCCGAGGGAGTATCCGCACATTGTTAGTGATGGCCTCCAGTAGTCCCTTGAGCTTTTTAAAACGGTACCTGATCTTACTGAGAATCACATTTTTCGTGTGCATGTCATGATTTGGCGTAAATCTTTGCCACGTTTGTGGCGTTTCGCACGACTTGTACTAGTAATATTTCGGCAAATGAAAGTGGCAGGAAGAACGCTATTGACACGGTATACGCAATAAACATTGATGTATTCTGCGCCTGAGATCTCCAGCTGTGCTGGATACATAGTCTAACAGGACTTGACCAGAGAACAATCAGAGAGCGTCGAAGCGTCGTGCATGAACACACGTACCGTTGATTACAAACCATCCTCTTAACGACGATCTATATTTCAAACGAGATAATGCGCGATTATGAATCATAAAGAAGCCTTCTCCAATCGTATAGCAGGCTGCTGTGTCGATGCCGATAACGACGACATCTGATCCACGGGCACTGCTGCTGAATGGGATGGCATGCTCCTCTTGAAGAGCGCTAGCTCTGGATCCTGTCCCTCGGCAATAACAAGAGCACCAGGGCGTTCCGTTTGAGGAGGAACTTCCCTCAGTTGCTGAGATAGGAGATGTATCGATACCTTCTTACGCGCAGCCGACGGGAGGATCAAACGGTCGTAGACTGCGAGCAATTCGTCTATAGAAAGTGCTTGAATGGCGGCGGTATCCTTATCGGCTGCAACAGCGCACAAGTCAAAAATTGCGATAATCCTCGCAAGTTTCGAATGAAACAAACCCCGTAAGAAGTCGCAATCGCCGGCATCAATCCGCGCCCAGAACCTCCCGGTCTCTTCTCGTAGATTCTTCACGCGTTCGAGCTTTTTCACAATGAGCCCTTGTTTCTTATATGTGAAGTCCTCTGGGGACATCGTGGAGAGAGTCCCGCGCAGAGTTGCGAAGAAGGTGTCCACGCGATCTTCGAGATACCAGGGCGCGTGAGTGCTCTGGATCATAACGTACAGACATATAGAAGTTGAAATGGTGGTGGTCGCGGCGAGCACGACATAGCTGCAGATGACGGGTCCAGTAAGGCCTCGAGCGAGAAAGATGTGGGACATACCCAAGTTGTTCCTTCGTGCGCAGCTCGGAATATGCAGGTTCCTTCATGATGTGTCCAATGAGTTCCATCACAGGGCGGAGCAAAGCATCTGCAACGTGTCCAAACTGGCAGAAGTAGGCCAGGCTAGAATTCGTCTCTTGTGCATTGGAATGCGTCCTGCGGACTATGACGTTCGTGCCTGAATGGTGTGGTCATGTCAGATTGACAAGGATTATGGTAGGGAAGAACCTTACTGTCAGGTAAGGCGAGAGCCCGGCGGCACGGATGCTCGCTCAAGGACAGCGGGCGAGCAGAGAGGCACTGCTCAACGTGTCGTGCGAGCACAATGGCCTCCTATAATACACAGGAAACATGCGTCATTATTCAACGTTCAGCGTAATGCTCAACATCGCCGTACCTCCTGCGATACATTACCGCTGACCAGCATGTCGATGTAGGTTTTGGATAATAGCTCTTCCTTGTGGCGTTGAACGTCACCCACTTCTACGACTAAGCACCGGGGTTACAAATCGTCGACAGGTGTTTTGTACGGGAGAGATGTAGAACGTACAGTCGAATTCTGCCAGTTTTTCCGCAGGCGTCCAGACCTTTTCCATTAATGCCCATCCTCCCAATGTCTTCGATAGGCCTGACGGCTGTCCCAGGTAGAAATTTTCATATTCTCTCTTGACCTGAAGAGCGATTGGTATGTGTCAATCTGCAACTGTGACAATGACCATGATTAAACTCGCCTGCTCCATCATAACCTTCAATCGCTCGCTGTCGACTTGTATATCTTTCAGCTTTTCAAGCACCATGTTCAAAAGAACAGAAAGTTTGTCGTTGTACCCGCTGACATGGACACAAATGCCCTTCGCGGTGTTTGACAAGCCATACGAAAGCCCAGCAAGATGGGCGGCATAGGTTATCTCGGCAAGTGCGTCATCTACAAGGTCAGCAAGGATGCTACTCCCCGCATGCCGAAATCAATGCGAATCCGGAAGGCCATCTCTGAGAATCGATTGCAACTGACCGTGTAAGGAGTGCCTGCCGAGGAGTTCCGTAGGCTAATAGACTTCCAGCACAGTCAACACATGGATACGTCCGTCGAGCTTGCGCGTGCACACACCTCTTGATCTCTACATTGACGATAGCTTTGGGTACCCAGAATTGATCATCCTTCTTATGCCAGAGCGTAGATATCGGCGTCCTGCGAATACAGGATGGCGCTCTCGTGGGCTTAACAAGTACGTGAGCCGTTGATATGACTCATAGTAGTGTCAAATGCAACGACATACTTCCAAGACCTGAACACGGTCCACTGAGAGGTTCGTCGGTATGAATGGATTCGCCTGTGGTAGATGCAGTCCAGGATTCTCGTTGGGCAGATTCGCCTAATGGTCATCAAGCGGATCAGAAAGCCGAAGCATAAATGGCGATACCCATCAGAATCTCGCAAACCTTGTCCATTACTCCAGCATCCAGTCTCTGCACGCAATACTCCCCACCTAGCCACCGCTCCTTCTCCCATTTTGCGTCAGCACCCACAATCACCTCGAGATGCTCCCGTGCCTGCAGCGTGACACGCCCCTTTTCAGGCGTGCACACGGCGAGGATCGCCTTGAACGCGGCCTCGTCCCAAGCGCGCAGGATGGACGTACCGCTCACCGCATGCTCAGGTGCATGTGGCTCGGCGAGCTGCGCAGAGAGGCCTTGGACGTACGAGTGCGGTTGCCCGCGCTCGCGGAAGCGGAAGTGGAGGAGAGCTATGGTGTGCGCCTCCGTGAAGTGGTACAGGGGGAAGGGTGATGGGGACAAACGCAGGAGCGAGAGATAATTGTAAATCGTGAGTAAGACGTCCTTGTAGTGTCCTGCGGAGTTGATAGGGGGATATGGACAGTCCGTTGGCCAATGATGAGAGTGATATGAGATGCAGGCCCACCGTATCCTTCCTTCGTGAGTCTGACGGACACCTTGAGCTGCTGCACGCTCGGATTCCGCCACTCTGCACCCGTTGAGATGCTGATGAGCCAGTTTTTCTTCTTCAGATACGCATACACACTTCCGGGCCCCTCGTGTCCCAGGAAATGAGAAATCATGAATGCGGGCTGAGTGTCCAGATGTGGCCGCTGATCTGGAATCATGAAGGTCAGGGTCAACGAGTAGTAGTCTTTCACCGTTTTGATGAAGATGATGGACTGCATCTGTGATCAGCCAAACCCACGAAAAGAGCGGGCCGTACTCACGCCCATCTCATTAGGCCCCCAGACAGGTTGTGTAGACACGGGACGCGGATCCAGACCACGGTTCGAGATAGGGGAGAACAGTGAGACCACCATGTGCGTGAGCTCTTCAAGAGATTCTACATATACGGTGAGGAACGAGTTATACAACGCATAGAAGCAGAAGGTTTTCTCACCCTTCCCTAGAACAGCCAATGTCATGCGACCGGCGCAATACTCCTGTTTCCACCACTCTACCATTCGTCTGCGCGTCTCTGTCCACACAGAACTCTCGTCTGTGCTTTCGCCGTCTCCTTGTGTCTCTGCCTGAAGCTTTCTCGCAGCTGCGGTTATACTCTCAACACATCCCGTGCTGAACTTTGAGTACGGGTGCTCCGGTGCACTAAGAGTCCTGTTGATTTGAAGGACCCTTCGCACATCGTTTTGGATGTTCTTTCTGTACTCTGAGTCGACTGCGTATATTTCGCGCTTTGTGAGGGATTCAGTAAATAGAGGGCAGTGAAAGAAGGCAGCAAGGCGAGCGAGACCACCAGGAAGGTGAGCAGCTCCGATGGAAAACCAATAATCCATCTGGGAGCTCCCAGTACTTGCGTTGCGCGCACCGCCATTGGAGGAGATGTACTTGATAAGTCCTGTTGATTCATATGTGTACGTGCGACGGACAGACCTCACGCACCGACAAGAAATCGTTCTCTTCAGGGAATAGCTCCGAGCCCTTGAGGATGTGTTGGAATTCAGCTATAAGTAGCCAATGTTTTTACCAGGCGCTTGGAAACATACTTTGGATATCATATGTTCTAGAAAATGTGCCAGGCCGTGCACATCATCCTGTGGGGTGAGACATAATAGTCCACTTAATGTTGCACAATAGCTCGACGCATGGACAGCTCACCGGATCATGCATGGCTCCGACTTGAACCGTGACGCATGCGGCAGCTTTGTCCGCTGTATCGTCGTGTATGACTATCGCTCGTAAGCCATTGTTGAGGTCAACAAGTCTATAATCCCTGTCGTCGAGATCCGGTTTGTCGATATGCCCAGTAAACGTAGAAAAACTGTATATCCCATCCCGTGTAGCACAATCTCTCCACTTGGAAGACATAAGAACAAGGGGTCTGTAAGCTCCGATAGGTATTCGAGATTGACCGCTGACTAGATCTTCTGTAGGCTTCAAAGTAAGCACTAGTATTCATCACACATGAGAAGAGCAAGTGCTATGTTCCATGAATATCGGAAGAAGAAGAAGCATGACATACACAGTAAGCAAGACAGAATACGACTTGTCGCTGTGTAGTTTGGTCAATATCTCAATCTCTTGGGCCCGATCGCGCTTGATCGGGCCCGAAAGAAACTCATATTGGCCAGAGACTAAACGCACGCGACAGTGACGCGCATCAGTCTTTTCAGAGGAACCCATTCCGCGAGATTCTACTCCATATACACCGTCAGTACAATACATGCACAATATAGCTTGGCCTCGAATGGCCCGTGATGGGAGGCTCCCAATCAAGCGCAAACTACTATGTTTTTCCTCTACAGGCTTCGGACGTATTTGGTGTCAACTTGGCATATAGACATTCCCCGCGCGGCGAGTCGATAATATGAATGACCGTTGAGCGTAAAAGTATTATGCAGTACCTCACAGCTTTGAGAATATATGGTAGGTCCGATGACGATGTGCTTATTGCTGGATTATATTGTTACCGTATCTGTTGAAGCACGCATTCAGGAACGAGCTCGCAAGCTCGGGCGCGCGAGTAACCGGGGGCCGGAGGCCCCTATCGTAGTATATAACGACCCCGCGCGATGTACGTACCGCACGCGATTGTCCCTTACGGGCATCGCTACGCCCGTGGACAAACGCGCCCCGCACCGTTCGCACCGTTGTTCCAACAGTATCCTCCTGTCTGACGGCTATTGTTGGTTCACGCAACATGCTTTTTGATACAAATGAAATGGGCCATGTTTGATTGTCATCAAGGATATAATCCACTTGGTACTGCTTCGCTGCTCGCAATCATATCTGACTGTGGCTAGCCGTGCTATACACACATCCTTTGACCTCGAGCAAAACGGACTGTCATACCGAAGTCACTTGCGAGCCAGGTCCTCAAGAGGAACATCCATGATGCTGGATGACGTCATGGTAATCGTTCTTCGTCCACTGAAACACCTGGAGTTGAGCCTTGTAGCGCTCGTCAGAACGCGCAAGGGTGGACTTCTATCTCATCGCATACGCACAATGCATAAAGAGAATTAACGTAGGCTTTGCAGTACATGACCACGGTCAGACAAGTTGGAGACAAGAAACGGCATACATACCTTTCGCGGCAGCTGAATGAAAGATGATCCATACGAAAACGTCCGGGAAGAAAGCGCAATACTAGGCCCATGCGAGTGATGAGATCAGGGGCGTCCACATAGATATTCTCTCACAGTGATGAATTGCCCGAGTTGTAGAATTCTGACACGGGTGTGAACACGAGTCGTGAGGCCGAGTAAGCACCACGTACGTAGTCATGAGCGCGCGGTTCACTATGATGAACGTAAGCCTGTTGAGCAACCTCTCCGTGCTGTACAAGTCAGTGAGCGCCCGTCAAAGTAGCCCCGGTAGCTACCTTTTCAGCCCTGTGTGTTTGTCTCGCAAGTAGAGTACGAGTGTCGTGGTAGTGATGATATCGGCAATTGAGGCGGACACGGTTTGTAGAGGTGCTGCTACCTGTGCCTGTAGTTACAAAGTGAGAATGCAAGGAGTACTATACAACATCGAACGTCCCTCAAACCGAGCGAATGCATTCACCGAGCTCCCATATGCAAACCTGAAAACTAGTATGTTTTTAGCGTAGATGCAGAGCAAGTTGTCCCTTACGCTAACCGCACCCCCCCTGTACCCACGCTCAATAAATGTTCATTGTTAGAGTTGAGGATTCCAAGTACGTACCAAACCCAGATGCTGACCCAAAACAGATAGATAAGAGATATGAATGCAAAGGGAAACATAAATGGCACACCACATGACATGACTGCAAGGAGGACCTCATTTCCAGACAAATCAGAAAACCCGAAAATCTGGTTCAGAGAATATAACATACCGTGGCAACAACGATGACTGGCCGATACCACGTGTTTGCAAGTACTGACCAGACGAATGTCATAATATGAATATCTTCGTAGCTGTATGTAGCATTTAAGACCCACAGTGCCAGATGTGATAGGCATAATAGCTGCAAGTAACGTCAACAAGGAAAGTAAGAGACACGACTCGGACGTGCTCCATACCACTGTACTATCAAGACATTGATAGTCTTCTACAGATTAGAGGGTAGAAGCGGCAGCTTAAGTCTCCGAAAACTTACGGACAGACTATACTCGACCTGCAGGTTGTGTTAACAATATACCACGGAGGATAGTTTAGGCCGCCTACTATCGCGGCGCTATATTTGAATCATCATGGTGAGATATAGTATACTGTAGCATGGTAGGAGTGATCACAGACTTGCTCAACGGAAAAGTTGCAGAGATATCAGCATGCGATGTCACAGTAACTGTCCAGATGGTCTGTGATCGGTATTGAGACCTGACGTGGTGGAATAGACCCAGAATTCTAAATGCAAACGTACCGCAACATCAGACACAGTGATTCCAGTATCCAAGATCCTGGCAGCCTTTACGAGTGAAATCCAAAGCATACAACGGTAAACGTGACATATCCTCACCACGTAATCATAACCTTGTGATAGAGACGGACGCCTCAGCATACAAACCATGTCGCATGGCGATGCAACATCGTACCAGCGCCTTGATATGCCACTTGTCGCGCGAGTATCGACGACAATAGTAGAGGAATTGACCGCATGTCACTCCATAGAATCTGTGCGACAAGTCTTGAGTCAGCTGGGATCTCAAAGGTAGAGAGCAATGAATTACAAAGCAGAGAAAAGAACTGCTATATGAAGACAACCAATATTCGGTGTCAGATTCAAGTTCAATCCGGTCATGGCACAGAAGAATGGGGGAGTGTCGAGAAGGAGACAGGACCTCTCGCCTTTATATAGTGCAGGAAATGCACTTGAATCAGAGCTTATCTTTAGTCTGATGCCTTTGAAATAGTTTCCTGTCACATACGTTGTATACATAAATTCAATCACAACTCTGTCATTTACATTCGAGTTGAGACGTGAATGCATGAGCTTCTGAAACTGCTCGTCGTGTCGGAATCTTTCACACCGATAGGCGAAGGTGGATATGACACGGTACGCGACACGGTTGGGAAACTACGATGACGCCGTCATCTGGGCGTTTATATGCTCTGTGAAATCTCAAAGCCAATCACAGACTTCATATGATTTGAATACGGCGCCCAGAAGGTGAAGCCCCTTTCCCGGGACGTCCCCGACCTTGCTGAGCGGGGCACATGCCAAGTCTGCGGGGTGGAGGACTCCCTGGAACACATGATAATCGACTGTAGGGCACCCGGATAACGCGAAATATGGCGACTCACGGAGCACCTCTGGGTTCGGAAACACCGCCTCTGGCCATGCCTGAGCCGCGGCGATATCCTAGGGTGTGGCTTAATCGAATTCACCACCTATTCTAGGAAGCCGCGATGGGGAGCCACTCAATTATACTACATCGTGATCAAGTGATATACGGCCGGAGTCTGTGGTCATCAAACACAGTCACTAACCACTGACTACTTGCCACAAGGGCGTGGATACCAATGTTAAGAGCGGCCAGAGGCTCGGATGCACTCTGCATGTACCTGCACTGTATATCGAGTATCAATTCGAGTGGGACAAACAGACCATGTCTCGCCGGCGACGGTCGTGTAGGATACAATCACGATGGGCAGGTGTCGGATATGGCGCAAGACTGTGCATTTCGCACAATACGAAGGTAAATCTACAGCCCTGATAAGGAGATGCAGTGAGTACTCGCCGAAGCAAGCAGCTGGCTCCATGAACGTCGTCTAGATGATCAAACCTTATACACACAGCATCTTTGCATCTATGCTGCCAGAATAGAGATCTGGTCCGCCCGTTATGCCCACGATTCATGGGATGGTGCACCTAGGGCAGGTCCTGGAGGTATCTAGTAGACCCCCATCGGGGCGGTGGGAAATGGGTCTAACGAACACCATCCCCAGGGGGAGATCAGGGCCTATATCCCGATATGGATATAGGCATGTGCCTGATCGCACCCTCGAGGCGGGTTAGACGCCCGCCCGCCCTCCTTGGGACGCTCCTCCGCCGTACCTTAGGACACTCCACCATCCCCAGCCTCTGTGTACCCTCGCCATATTTGTACCTGTCTACATCTTGATGCCATGTCTTTGCTATTTCAAATTAGCTCCTATGCTCTCTCGCCCGGCTATATTCTCGCTTTCACCATGCCGCCACCTAGTACTCTCCAGATCGGCGACGACCTGCTCCCATGTCCTGCGACACCCCCCCGATCGCAGCCACCGAGGACGCGCGATAACCAGAAGGTCATCCCCCGCACAGGGGCGCACTTTTTGACCCCCCAAAAACGTCGGCTCGGGGGCAAAAAAGATCAGGTCTTAGTTAGTCATCCAGGTGATACTCGTACATTGGCACTGCTAGCCCGTCTGCATGCTTTAGAATCTCATGCTTCTACTCCCCCCCCCCTCCGACGGACGCCC